GGGCTGGGTGCTGTTTGTTTCTTTACCGACAAAATGGCGTGTCGGATTTCGGAAGGGAGAACGTTGGGAACGACATATCCATCCTGTGGAATTTGGTATGTCAGCAAGTGGACATGGCTATCGAAGAGATTTGAGTAGAAGTCATGGATAATCTTCTCCATTGCCCTTCTGGAGGATGTGATGGATCCATCAGGACGTTGGAGGGCAGTCATCTTGGTCTTGTAGTTGGCAAAGGACAGGCGGGCGTTACAAATACTTTTCCCGGCTCCTGCCGCATCTACCAGTACTTCTGCTCTTCTCTCTTTGAGGTCTTCCTTGATCGCATCTCTGCACTGCTTTGTGAGCGCAGATGTTAGCGTGCGGTTGCCTAAGGCATGCGCCAAACCACGCTGGCGAATTAGCTCAAGAGTTTTCGAAAATAGGCGATTTTTTGTGGCTATCTCTCTCTTGGCGTTCCTCGCACATTCGTGGAGGTGCTGAACCAGTCGATTGTATTCCTCATCAATGTTGTCAACAATGGCATCTTCCCATGTTGCCACAATAGTACCAAAGAGTTCCCAGTTGGTGGTCATTCTGGGAGTTCTCTTTTTGAACTTTGCAGCCCTTTCTTCCCGCTCTGTGAAGTAGAATTTTGCACGAACGAGACGGTGGTCCGATCCCGTTCCAAATTTTGGGACAACAGCGACATCGGTCAGGCAAAACCGTCGATTGAATATGATGTGGTCTATTTCGTTGTGGAATCGTCCACCGGGAGACTCCCATGTCCATCGTTTAGATTCTGCCTTCTGGAACTGTGAGTTACCATGAATGGTCTTGGTCGACATGATGAACTCAGACAGTCTCTCACCCTGTTCGTTCCATTCTAGGCCATGGTCCCGATGTGAAGTTCTTCAGCTGATCTTCTTGGTCCTATCTTGGCATTAAAATCACCCACAATGATCTTGTAGAAGGTGTGGTCTTTATAGAACTTCGCTAGCCATCAGGGAGATGCAAATCAAAACAACAATGAGATATCATCTCACACCACACAAAGACTGGCTCACATCACATAAAACAAGAATATCCAGTGCTGGGGCAGATGTGGGGAGAAAGTTATTGGTGGGAATGCCAACTGGTCTATCCTTTTTGGAAAATAATATGGGCATTCCTCAAAAAACTAGAAATTGAGTTTTCACATGACCCAGCAATACCACTTCTGGGAACATATCCCGAGGGTGCAAAAAAGCTTGGTAGAAAAGACATCTACCTGTATGTTCATTTGCAGCACTGTTCACAATAGCCAGAATCTGGAAACAACCCGAGTGCCCGAGAACAGATGACTGGTTAAGGAATCTTTGGTACATCTACACAAAATGGAATACTATGCAGCTGTTAGGAAAGATAGTCATGAAATTTGCTTATAAGTGGATGGACATGGAGAGTATCATGCTAAGTGAAATGAGTCAGAAAGAGAATGTCTGCACTCACTTGTGCAATATAAAATAACATGAGATTGACATCCAAGGACAGTAGAGACAAGGGCCAGGAGGATTGCTCCATAGTTGGAAGCCTGCCTCATGAGCTGAGGGAATAGGCAACTGTAATAGAGAAGGGATCACTAAGTCAGTGATGATTGGAAGGATCGCTTGGGATGGGAGATTGTGCTAAAAGTAGATTGAGCACCAAACATGATGGCCTCTCATTATATGTAATGCAAACAATAACACTCCAAAGTAGAGGAAGAGTAAGAAGGAAATTGTCTACTAGGGAGGCAGGGGATGGAATGAGGTGGGGGTGGTGGGAGTGAAATTAAGGACAGTGGTGGTAGAAAATGTGCACTGGTGGAGTGATGGGTGTTCGATCATTGTATGAGTGGAACTCAATCATGAAACTTTGAAACTATCTCATGGTGATTCAATTAAAAAAAATATGTGTGTAATATGCTATACAGCAAAACCTGTTGCTTCTACCTCTGCCCTCTCCGTCCTGTTCCCCATACTCAGACTCAGTGATTCCAAGGGTATATTTGGAGTGGTTTTTTGCAAATAAAAGAAAAAATGTTGTTTTCCCTCCCATAAGGGCTCCTTATTCTCTAGAGTTAGAGCACCCTCATTCTAAGTAGACGCGGTATTCTTTGAGAGTCTGTTACGGTCTGAGTTGGGCCCTGCCTAACCAGGTTGCAGTCCTACGCAGCCCTCAGACTGTGACTTTATTTGCAAAGTGCCTAAATAGTCACAGAGATAAGATGAGGCCCTGACCAGTGTGATGGAGAGAGCAGTTTGAACGGAAAGACATCTGGGCAGTAGGAGGTGACCCCGTCATAAGAAGTCGTTTGATGAGGCCCCAGGGACAGGACTGGCACCTTCATCTTGGGGCTCCCGCCTTCAGATTCTCATGTGAACAGTCTCCTGTTTGAGCCACTCACTGTGGGGTGTTTTGCTCTGGTAGCCCCGTTAATTAAAACGGGGTGTTCAGTAGATCTCAGCAGTCTGTTTCCTTTTGTCACGTCTCTAAGAATAGCTCCACTGCCATCAGGAGATGTGACCGAGAGGAACAGTGCAGTGCCCTTTGCACTTCTGGGTGTGCAGTGACAGGGTCAAATACCCAGTGCTCTCACAGGTGCCAGACGGGATCCTGGCCTCTGCTGCCTATGACTCCAACACGCAGACCAGGTCTGGCTGCTCTACGGAAGGAGCAGGCCCTGAGAGCCCCCATCTAAAGATCAGGCCTTGAGTGAGCACCACAGTGACCACCACTGAGTACCACCAGTGCCTCCGTGCTTCGACAGTGTGCTCGCCCCGACAAACATGTGTGCAAGCAGCATTACTACGGGGGTGCTCCAGAGAGCATGGCTGAGAGGTATGTGTGACCCTGTTGGCCCAACAGCAGCAAGAGAGCGTAAAGCTGCAACCCCAGATCTTTGAGAGCTGGGACAGAACAGTTACCCTTTCCCCACTTTGGAATTGTTCAGACTTGTTTTAATTACCCAGAAGATGGTCTTACTAAATGCACCCGGTACACTTCCTTTTGCCCTTGTGGGTCCAGTACCAGGCCCTGAGTGTGGTTCATTTCGCTGTGCTGATCCCTAAAGCTCCAACCACCGCCTGAAGCCTGGTGAGTGAGGTGCCAGGGACTCGCAAGCTCAGGGCCGAGGGTTCTTTCCTGGACCTGGAAGCTTTGATGAGTGTGGATATCTAGGCTGGATCGAGACTGTTTCTGTAACCTGTACAACTAGGTCCTCATTCATTTACTCATCTTTATCAGTTCTCTAGATTATTTATCTTGTTGTGCACCTACACTTTAGAATTGTCCAATATGGGGAGAAGGGTGGAACAGAGCAGGAAATACCTGTTGTATTTACATTGAGAAAATATGAGTAGGACAACCCAAGAACTGATTTAGCTATCCAGCCACTTGTGCCTTTCTGTAACACTTAGAATTTTTTCTCATATATGCTTGTCTGATAAACATATAGACTGAGAGGAGGTACACCAACTTCAGGGTAGCATTTGCCTCTGGGAAGAGGAAGGAGACTGAGTCAATAAAGCAAGTTTGGCACCTCATCCTAAGATGCTGTAAGGGGAAGGGTGTGGTTCTGGAATAATTTCGGCAAGAAATCCTACCACTAACAGTGCTGTAAACCATGGTACTAAAATTTTAAAAATAAAATGCTGCGAGGGGCCAGAGAGATGGCTGGAACAAGGATGCAGCTGGGGCCACCTGGTCTCTGCACACTGCTGAGTGTGACCCCCCCTCCAAAATTAAATATCGTAGCAGTAGTTTATGGGCATATATATTTATTATAGAACCTTTTTCTGTATTCTTAAATATTTCATAGTAAAGAAATTGATTACACGACGCGAGGGGGCCAGTTAGTGGGTGTGATCCCCGCCTACTGGAATTTGGAGGATCTAGGTGGAGGATGCTCGGCCCAAATCCGAGTAGGCTTGGAGATCTCGGCCCCGGAACCCGCGTGACTTTGTCCCTCTGCCAGTACCTTCATGTGTGCGGAGAGTGGTCTTAGCATTGGGCCGAGCATCCTCCACCCAGATCCTCCAAATTCCAGTAGGCGGGGGTCACACCCACCAACTGGCCCCCTGGCGCCATGTAATCCCATCAAGGGCCAAGACTCAGAGACTATAAAACCCAGCTCCCAGAAGAAGAACAAGTGCAGTCTCCTGCCCCCGTGCCTGACTGTCCTCGCCGCTGGGGCCCCTTGGAGGGGAGCGGGTTGAGCTTTCCTCCCCGCCCCGACCAGGGCTCCAGCAGCCAAAGACCTCCAGGACCAGCCACCACCATGCTGAGACCACTCTCCGCACACATGAAGGTACTGGCAGAGGGACCAAGTCACACGGGTTCCGGGGCCGAGATCTCCAAGCCAACTTGGATTTGGGCCGAGCATCCTCCACCCAGATCCTCCAAATTCCAGTAGGCGGGGGTCACACCCACCAACTGGCCCCCTGGCGCCGTGTAATCCCATCAACGGCCAAGACTCAAAGACTATAAAAATCAGCTCCCGGAACCGAACCGCGTGGCCGCATTCGTGGCCGTGCGACATCCTATTATGACATCTTATTATCTCATTCCTACTTTGGACAAACTGGCAGGCTACCGAATGTAGCCTGCCCACACGGCAGAGTCTGGCAAACTCCCTGTGGCGTACCCAATATGCCAAATACCAGTAACAATGATGGGTCTCATTCTCCTAAAGAGCCTTGAATATAATCTCAGGGCTAGGATGAAGGAGACGTTATTGGGCCTGCTCGAGGCAATCGACGATTAATAGGATGATTTGTGATTTGTGAAAGAAATTGAAAATCGGCCTTTTTTTAAAAAAAAAGTTTTATTAAAAAGCAGTTTTAATTTTAAAAAAAGAATTTACTGCAAATACAGTGTGTAGCCATACACATTGCTTTGGACACACTAACCATAATTTATGCATGTCTACATATAAAATATAGCCACGTATGGCAGTTTCCAGTGTGACGACAGTACAGTGGAATAGGACTGCCTTTGCTTCATACTATCCCTGAGCCAGTGTGGCCCAGCCACCCTCCTGCAGGGCTCCCTGGCCACAGGCACGACACTGTTCTGAAGGCCGGCACTTGGCACTGCTGGGCATCTCCATCCGGGTGGCCGAGTGACAGGCTTGCGGTGCATCTCTCTTGGCATCGCCAGGACGCCCTGGGAGGGAGGTTTCCTTCATTTCCCCAGCTGGTCTCTTTGCCAGAGTGCCGTGGCCCGGGTGCCTTCTCTCTGGTTGCTCGCTGAGGGCAGTTCCGTGCGCTGGGGAGAAGGTGGCCTGCTGCTCACCCCGCATCACACGGCGAGTGCGGCGGCCGCGACTTGGCCGAGCAGCCCTTGCAGGGCCTGGACCTTCTCCTCCAGGGCCCGTGCCCTGCTCTGGGCTCCACGGCGCTGCTCCTCTGCGGCCCGAAGCTGCGTCGCCAAGTGGGCGTTCTCCACGTACAGCTCCTGCAGCAGCAGCTCCGCCCTGCTGCGCGAGGCCAGCTGTGGGGATGGGCAGGGGCTGTTCCAGGTTCCCACAACACAACCGGGATGCGCGAGGGGGAACTGGGGGGTCTGGGTGACTGACTGGGGGTCGCTCCTGATGAGTGTTTCTATCTTACCACCCGGGAAATGGAAAGCGTCAGCTCAGACCATCTTTCCTGCGGGCAGTGAGACCAAGACCCACACCTCAGGGACTGAGTGTGGGCACAAAGCGGGCACTGTCAGGCAGGCAGGGCGTGCTGCCCACAGGGGTCCCACACCCTGCCATCAACACTGGCCACTTGCCAGCCCTGGGCCCCTGCTGCTGACCATGTCCACCATCGTAGGTGCTGCTGGCAGGGCGACAAGGCCACTGCAGACCAGGTGATGAATCAGAGCAGTGGAAGTGACACCCCCCACAGCTTGCAAGGGCCTGGGAAATGGGCACAATGGCCATCATCTGCAGGGCTCTGGTGAGCACAGCGGGGCCTGGAAGGGTATCTGTCCGGGTGGGACCTGGGCACAGGCAAGAGCTGGGCCTCTGGGGAAACGGGTCGGGTCACTGAGCCACATGGAAGACCACAGGGACAGAGCAGGAGAGATGCCCGATGCCCTGCAGCCAGGCCCACAAAGGCTCACTGCTGCCCAGACTGACAGAATGAAAGACAAATGCAGTGAACTGTGACTGGGGGTGGGGGGGCATGGGGGTCCTGACATGATGGAGTCCATGGCGAGGATGCCAGCACACCCATGTACAGTGCCAGGAGCCGGGCGAGGACACCAGCACACCCGTGCAGTGCTGGGGCCAGGCTGGGCACTGCCAGGAGCCCCCAAAGGTATCGAGATTAAAATGCATGGCAAGCTTAATCAAAATCCGCCAATGGCTTCTACTGTTGATTAAAATTAAAATGGTGAGTGGCCCGCCCCCTCGCCCCCTCCCCCAGCCAGCACACCTTCTGCAGGAAGCACAGGGGTTGCTCATCTCCCGGGAGGGACAAAACCTGCACCTCACAGCAGGGGCCGCTTCTCTCCAGAGTGTGGCCACCCCGTGCTGGGGGCAGGGCCAGGAGAGCGGGACAGCGGGAGGGCACTGCCCCCCCCCCCACAGAGCCAGGAGTCCTGAGCCCCCAGCCCCCAGCCCCCAGTACAGGGCGGTAACGGCAAAGCGCGTGACTGCCGCCCTCTGGGGACACTCCCTGAGCTGTGGCGGGGCAGTTCCTGGGACAGTAGGCGGGGCCTACCTGCTGGCGCAGCTCGCACACCTTGTCCTGCAGGAGCCCCTCCGCGCTCTTCAGGGCCAGCCCTGCCTCCTCCGCACACGCCTCTGCGGTTCGCAGCTGCTGCGGCTCCTCTTCCTCCTGTCACACACACGTGTGCATATGAAACTTTTATTTTCCATCTCTCAGATTTGTTTGTGCGCGTTGGAAACTCTCAAAACGTTCCGTCAGGAATTAAAGCAGGCACTTTAGTTCCAGGGGAATTGGTGCTCCCATCAGAGCCGCCCCCAGAGTGGCACGAGAGTCTGGGTGTCTGGAAGGGTGTCTCCCGCCTATCCCAGCACCCCCCAGGCGTGGCCCCAAACCAAACAGCACTTCTGGTTAGATGTCTGAGTTCTGTCAACATCCTCCCTTTGGGGAGCTTTATCTCCAGCTTACAGCGGAAGGCAGTTCTTTTTTGGCGTGTACACTGTAGCTCTCAACCACGTGCAAGGTGGGTTTTCTTTTTTGGGGGGGAGGGGTTTGAGGCCACTTGTAAGTCTGGCCCTAGTTCCACCCTCTGGCTCCTGGCTCCGCCTCACTCCATTTGGCATGGGCTGCGCTGTGAGGTTCGGAATGACTTGCTTTGGTCTTTTTATTTATATTTTTTGACAAGCAGGCGGTGCTAACCTACAGGGTCAGCCTGGAGGACTGTCCGACCCCAGCCCAGGGTGGCAGCAGAGCCCCAAGGCTCAGGGCCACGCCCACACACGGCCCCCCACCCTATGGGAATCCCAAGGCCCCATCCAACCCGCTGGGCTGGGGGACTGGGCCTGGACCAGCCAGGAGGTGGCTGGCACTCTCTCTCCATCCCCTGTGCCTCTTGTAGTAGGTCTGAGGCTTCCCACCCAAAAATCCAACTGGGTGCACCCTGCAGCCATGTTCTGGAGAGTGGACTGAGGGCTTGGGGCCCACAGCTGAAAGGGGGCACGAAGACAGGGGCAGCCATGGACGGGTAGTGGACAGCACAGGTGGAGCCAGGCGAAGCCTGAGTTTAGCCGGGGGCCCGCAGAACTTGCTCCCAGCCCCTGAGCGTGGCTAAACCCTTCCTAGCCGCACCCCCACGCTGCCTCCCACCGCTGCCCGGCAATGCCGGGCCTAGCCACCCCAGCTGTGGTGGCCCCCAGAGCAGAGAGGACAGTGCTGGGAACGCGTCTGGGCATGCGGAGGGTCTGGAAAGCAAGGCCGGGCGCTGGCACATGCTAGCCCTCCAGGTGAGCAAGCCAAGACCGTGCACAGCACAGCAGGCCCTATGTCCAGCTGAGTGCTAGGCACTGGGGCCAAGGACAGCCAAGTCCAAGGACAGCTGCCGGGCCAGTGGCCCTTCAAGGGAAAAAGCAGCAGATCCCTGGAGGGAAGCACGTGGTCTGGAGAGCGTCCCCTGCAGACCCCTGTCCCCCCGCAGCCCTGCTGCTCTTCCACACCCTGCCTCTCCTGCTCAGATATGGCCCCCCAAGGCCACTGCCCCCAGCGCCACACCCGCCCTGTGCATATGCTTGTCCCAGGTCGTGCCAGGAGCACTGTCTAACTCTGAACCCACAGAAGCTGAGGCTTGGGAGGGGGCCAGGGTGGGGCATGGAGTAGTGCGGGGTTAAGGCACTTGTCCTGCATGCCCTGACCTGGAGTGGCTGGCAGTGCCACATGGAGTTCCCTAAACCCATCCAGGAGTGAGCCCCGAATGCCACCAGCTGTACCCGCAAAACACTAAAATAAAAAACAAAAGAAAAACTAATAAAAATGAAACAGAGGCCAAGAGAGGCCGAGAGGCGGTGCGGGTCAGGGTCCAAGCTGGGCCTGGGAGAAGCCGTGAGGGAAAGAAGGGCCAGGCCAGGACACGGACTCAACCCCTGGGCCTCTGAGAGGTCCCCTGGGCCTTTCCCGGTGCCTCCTCCATCCCGAGGAGACTGAAGACCCCGCCACGGCCAGACGCGCCCGAGGGGCTCCCAGCCTGCCCCGGGCGGCTTTCTCCAAAGCTCTCAGCTGCGGCCCACAGCCGGACCCTGGCAGTGCTCTGGCCAGCAGAAGGAATCGATAGGCAACACCATCCAGGCCTCCTCTGTCCGGGGGTGCTCGCCGCAACAGCACAGGGATCACGGCGACCCCCGTCCCTGCCCTGGCTCCTGCCCGCCCCGCTCAGCACCCAGCAAGCCCAGCCCAGCAGCTCTCGAATCTCAGCTTTGCACCGTGAGTGCCGCAGCCCGGGCACTGCCAGCCTCGGTGGGCCCAGCATGGCACAGCACGGCGCATGCCAGCTGCCCTGCAGCGCTGGAGATGCAGACTCAGCCAAACCAGCAACGCCACCACCCCTGCTAGTGCAGTTTACTCCTCCCGCGGCTCTTCTCAGGGACTGCAAGGGCGGCTTAAGCCCTCCCGTTTCCAGAGTGCCCAGGAGGTTCCTCACTCTGCCAGGGCACTCGGGGCCCTTCGGCTGAAGACACTCACTCCTCCCTCTACTTACTAAGTATTACTCTGGGCTGCTGGGGTCACACACGGCAGTGTTCAGGGGTGGCCCTTGGTGGTCTGAGAGGTCCTGAGCCGTGCCAAGGATGGGGGCTGCTGTGTGCCAGGCCCTCGTCCTGCCCGCCCGCTCCCATGCCGCTTACCCACAGCCCCTGCTGCTGCCTGGTCTCCTCCAGCTGCTGCCGCAACAGCCGGATGGTAGCGTGGTTCTCCTCGTTCTGAGCCTGCTGTGTGGCCACCTCCTCCCGCAGCTGTAGGACCCTCTCTCCAAGCTGGGACAGTTCAGCCTTGTACTTCTGATTCTGGAGGGGGTGAAAAAGTTAAAACACAGGAAAAATTCTCAGTCTTTCAGAAAGTTCTACAAGCCTGGGACAAACCCTGGCCTCTGCATGTGTGGCAGGCACCCGCTGAGCCACATCCCTAGCGCCTCTAAAACTTACGGGGTTTTTGTTTTCTGGGGCACACCTGGTGATGCTCAGGGGTTAGCCTGACTGCACTCAGGGATCACTCCCGACAGGTTTGGGGACCACAGAGGGTGCCGGGGATCAAACCCAGGTCGGCTGCGTGCAAGGAGAATGCCCTGCCCGCTGTGCTCTGGCTCCGGGCCCTAAAGGTCAGGTTCTAAAGCCACGAGCTCAGGCCGAGCATGCCACTGATTTCAATCAGGTGATTCTGGCCCCAGGGCACAATTGGTGATGGCTCAAGCTCTGGCCAATACAGCTGGAGGTGTCAGTGGTGCCCGGGGCAGTGCCCTGTGAGAGCTTGAAAGCGAGCAGGCGACCGGGTTCTGGAGCCTGCAGCAGAGGTGGTCAGTGGCCTCTCTCAACCAGGGGTCAACGGGCCAGGAACTCTGACCACCGTCTTGGTTCTGTCTATCTGTGGACAGAAGCAGGACCTGGGCCGGCATATAGGCGGGAAGAGCTGAAGAACGCTGGCCAGTGCGACTGTCCGAAGGCTTCGCCCTTTCTCATTTCTTCCAGGTTTATTCCTAATCCAAGCATGCTGAAGGTCAAACCCCTAACCTTCAGGTATGTGTAGCTCTTCAAACCCCGTGGTGGCTGCCATTAAACCCTGCTTGGACCGGGTACAGGCACAGAACATTCCGACTTTCTCAGTGGCCCAGTGCTAGGGCTCTGCCCGCACTGCTGGGTGGGCAGAAGCAGTGGCTGTGAAGCCCACAGTCACCACGGATCCAGTCCCCCACCACATGGCACGGTTGCCCTGCAGCTCCCCGCCCTTCCCCAGGCCTGGGGCTCCCTTCCTGTTCCTTGGGCTCTGGTGAGCACCCAGCGGGGGGTATTCAGGCTAAGTGAGGCTACACACTTCAGGGATCATCATTTTCTTGCCTGCAAATAAACCACCCCCGTCCCTCACCTGGAACCTGACAGCTGAGGGTGAAGAGGTGTTCGCACAGCAAAAACTCATGGTGGTCACATCTCTCTAGAGCCCCCATGTCACTGACAGTTACTATGGAAACTACAGAGGTTTGAAATGGGGGGGCGGGGGCTGGTTAGCACATGCTTGGTGTCGGGGATCCAGCCTGGACCGGCACAAACAAGGCCAGCACCCTGCCCGCTGACTGTCACACCACCCCGTCTCCTCCCGGCCGTCAGCAGTCTCCCCTGAGGACAGCCTTGGTTTCCCCAGCAGCCCGCCACGGGAACAGCCTCAGCCCGAACCCTGGGCTCCCAGTCGGTCACTTCTGCTCTGTCCCTGAACTGGCTCCAAACTTGCAGAGGAGCCTGTAGGGACCCCTGGCCCCGGCCCCTGGACACAAGCCCTGGTTTGCCGCACACACTCCTGCCTGTCAACCCCGCTGGGGTGTGGCGCAGCCTGGATGAGAGCAGCAAAGCAGCCCTGAGGGAGGCCAGAGCCCTGAGGCCACGCACTGCAGGCCGGGCGTGGGGCAGGCTCACTCATCCCCCGCCCCCCAACCCCCCAAGCTGCATCAGAAGAAACAAGCCCAGCCAGGAGGTACTGCCCCAAGCTGGACCACATGCCCCACAGTGACCGAGCTTGTTGGGGAGAATTAAGGCCCAGTGAGCCGGGTCCTAACCTGGTCAGTCTGAGAAGGAAAGACTGTCTCCTTCTGTCTGTAGGCTGAGAGAACTGAACCAAGAACTGAACCAGCAAGTGCCCCGACCTTGGGCTTCCGGCCGTAGATCCCTGGGAAGTAAGCCTGGATGTCCGCCAGTCAGTGGCATCTGGTCACTGTTGCTCAAGAGCCAGTGGCTATTCTGAGTGTTCTGGAACAGACTGGCTACTGAAGTCTGACCAGTGTGACAGGAAGGAGAGACGCCCTCTAACGCTTTATGTCTCCTACCTAGCAGAATGGCGGGGCTGAAACTTGGTGCTGAGAGGAAGCAATGCACCCAGCACAGCTTGGCGGGACAAGTAAGACACTTGTCTTACTTGCTCAGAAGTCTCCTGGGCATAATCTTAGTGGAAGGGTGGCTTGTGTTCAAGACAAACAGCTGCAGGGGAAAGCCTTATCACTTGTGATAGCCGCAACCTGGAAAGAGCTTTGGTAGGTTTTTGAAAGGTTGACAGAAGCCCTGGGACACCAATGTTGTGGGAGACTATGCAGCAGTGAAAAGGAGCTCACTGTGAGTTCAGCAACTTGGACGCCTTTGAGAGAACTGAGCTAGATCAGAAGTCAACCCCTAGGGTCAGGGAGACGATACAGCAGGTAAGGGGCTTATCCTACACGTGAGCGACCCTGGCTCAATGCTTGGCACTGCCTAAGTTCCCCCAGGCCCCAAGGAGTGACCTCTGAGGAGAACCAGGAGTCAGCCCTGACCGCAGTGGGTGTGACACCCAAACTGGGGGCTGCGGGGAGTCAGTCCAAAGGGTGCATTCTGTGTGATTCCCAAGTTTATAGCACTTTGAAACGCTAGGATGTTATGATTAGTGACTGACAGTGTTTGGGCAGGCAGAGCGGGCAGGAAGGAGGCGGGTGTGAACATCAAAGACGACACATGGGGCTGGAGCAATAGCACAGCAGGTAGGGCGTTTGCCTTGCATGCGGCCGACCCGGGTTCGATTCCCAGCATCCCATATGGTCCCCTGAGCACCGCCAGGAGTAATTCCTGAATGCAGAGTTGGAGTAACCCCTGTGCATTGCCGGGTGTGACCCAAAAAGCAAAAAAAAAAAAAAAACCCAAAAAAACAAAGCAAAGGTGACACAAAGAATCCTTGAACCATTCAGTATCTGGATTGGTGGTAAGTGTGTGAAACAGGAGATAAAACTGTACAGAAATGAATAAAACATATGGACCCACTAACATACAAGTAAATACACAAATTAAAATAGGACATCTGAATAAGATCCATAGATTACATTAAATGTTATATATAACTTTATTGTCATTCTTTTTTGTTTTGGGGGGCCATATTTGGCGTCACTCAGGGCTGACTCCTGGCTCTGCATTCAGGGATGACTCCTGGCAGGCTCAGGGGACCATGTGGGGGACCAGGGATCAAATCCAGGTCAGCTGCATGCAAAGCAATCACCTTACTTATCTGCTGTACTATTACTCTGGCCCCAACTTTATTATGATTTATTCCCTTGAAATTCATGTGTGGAAGCCCTAACCCCCAATGCTTCAGAATATGACTATCTAGAAATGGTTTCTTTAAAGAGTGACTATTGGGCTGGAGAGACAGAACAGAGGGCAGGGCACCTGCCTTGCATGCAGCCATCTCAGGTTCAACCCTGGCATCCCTTATGGTTCCCCAAGCTCCACCTGCGTGCAGAGCAAGGAGTAATTCCTGAGTGCAGAGCCAGGAGCACCCCCTGAGCATCGCCCGGTGTGACCCCCAAAGAAAAAAAATTAAATCTAAAAACATATACACTATTCACTAACTCTAGCCACCAACTACCCCTGGAGGGAAGGGACTGGCCTCTAAACACCATCCTATACTAAAAGTAGTCACAGACTCCTTGGAGAAATGGGTAATTGCGGGGCTAGGAGATATTAGTTGAACCTGGACCCTTCAGGGTTCTATACTATAAGGAAGTGCTCAAAGAAGGACCACGACCATCCTGACAAAATCTGTGACAAGTTGAGCATCAAGAATAAGTACTTTGGGGCTGGAGCAATAGCACAGCAGGTAGGGCGTTTGCCTTGCAAGCAGCAGACCTAGGTTCGATTCCCAGCATCCCATATGATCCCCTGAGCATTGCCGGGAGTAATTCCTGAGTGCATGAACCAGGAGTAACTCCTGTGCATCGCCAGGTGTGACCCAAAAAGCAAAAAAAAAAAAAAAAAAAAAAAAGTACTTGGAGTTACAGTTATTACTTGTTATTTAAAATGATCTAAATGAATTAATGAAGAGAGGGATGGAAAAGTCCTTCCTTATACTGGGACTGATGGAAAAACAGAAATGAACAATGGAATAAGCCAGCTGGCCACCTCACAGCAATGGCCAGCACGCAAGCTCCCCGGGGGACTGACAAGTGAGATAGTCACACAATACCTGTGTCTCCCCATACAGAACTCACTAATCACCAAAGGAGAAGAAGCACGAGTGTGGGAGACCTGGTAGGGCCCCTCACGCAGACTCGGGGGCCTCAGCAGCCAACAGCAGGGGAATCGCTACAGCCCAGAGCAGATGGAACGGGAGACCCCTATGCTCACCCCTCCACCCAGGTCACCGAGAGCGGATGACACGGGAGTCTCAGCGTCATTCTGGAATGTTCCCGCTGAAGACACGTCACCTAACTCAAACCTGGAAACCTTCCACAAATGCCTGCTGACAGTCTTGGGACACACTGAGACCCTATCTCGCGGGAGGAGTGCCCCGGTGGGGGGAGCAGCCCACGCAGAGTTTCGGCCCAGGAAGGGCTGCCAGCCCAGAACAGGTCGAAACTGCCAGGGTAAGTCCGTGAGGGTGGAACAGAACGACAAAAGGCCCCGCCACGGGCGCCGAGCCTGACCTGTTTGCCAAGTTCCCCCAGCGCCGAGCAGGCCTTCTCTCTGTCTCCCCGTAAGGCTTCGATTTCCTGCCTGTGGAAAAAGCACACGAGGGGGTCACTCTGGCCATCTCTTCACTCTGGCCACTCTCTTCTGGAATAGCAGCAGCTTGGGTTTGCAGCATGGGGACAACAGTGCCGCCAGTCACCCCTACAACCCACGACCCCCGCTGCTAGCTCCCTGAGATCCAGAGCACCGCCCGCTAGTCCCAGGAGTCTGAGCACAGCCAGGTGTGGCCCTCAGACCAGCTCCAGCTACTCGTGACTCAGCGCAAACAGAAGTCACAACGGCCTTCTACTGAAGCCTCATCAAACAGGCTCCAGAAACACAAGAGTTTCCATAGGGGGAAAAGCTTTAGGTTTCAAAAATTTAGGGTGGCGGTGGAGAGAAATACCAGCCCTGACCACACCTGGGACCGTCTGTGGTCCTGGGGATTCCAGATGGAAGATACTCGGCCGCACCTTAACTCCTGCACTCACCTGCTGGCCAAGAGCTCGGACGCCACACATGCTATGTCCATGCATGTGACTAGACCTGATTTTCTGTTTCAGGATGTTGCAACATGCACATATATACTGTGCCACCAGGCCACATCTCTGGCCCTCGATCCCATACTTGAATCATCATAATAATTCCATCAAATCAGCAACACAGCCTCCAGATCTTAGAGTCGGAGCTCATCTTCACGCAGGCGAAGCCCTCAGAAAAACCCCCGCCCCCCTCGTGGGCAAGGCAGCGAGGACCCAGCAGCCCTCGCGCCTCAGGCCTGGTAACAGTCCCTGCTTCTGAGTCTGCCTCAGCTGACAAGTGGACGAAAGCACAGCTGGACCCCGGGGACCAGAAAGGCCCACAGAAAGCCTGACCCTGCAGAAGCGTCAGCGCCAGCCGCGTCTGCTCAGGGCTGCGCCAAGTGTCCACAGGAGCCCAGGCTCCTGATGGGGCAGTGACTGGGCATCTGGCCCAGGATGCAGCTGGCTGCCCAACAGGGCCTGCTGCCAGTGAGAGACGGGCATAGCTCCTGTGCCTCTGGGGTCACTTTCTATAGCGTGACCTTCTCAGCTCATTTCACAGGGAGTGCAACATGCCACGCTGCGGGCGGGCCGGCCTCACCTCTGGGTGCTGCTTGTCCTCTCTGCAGCCCGGAGCTCTTCCTGAAGCCTTTCAAGCTTGGTCGTCAACAACGTGTTTGCTTCAGAAAGTCGATCCACCTCCATTCTGCATGAAAGACGGAAAAGAGGACGGAGTGTGAGCTGGGAGCAGGCAGCCTGCTGTCCCCTTCCATCTCTGGTGTGGGGACGAGGCACAGGAGACAAAGCCCTCCGGGGGCTCCGGTCAGAGACACTGGCCTGTCTGGTCTGTCCCTTGGTGCTCACTGCTCACCTGCCCCTGCCTGACAGTGGAAGCCAGAACCAGTGCTGGAGGGTGGGCGGGGAGGGCACCACGAGTTACTGCCAAAATAGTTATGCCCAGTTGGTGAACCCAAGAAAATACTTATGTGCAGCTGGTGAAGCAGATCTAAGAAGCATAAACCTAAGGCATCAGAAGAGGAGACAGCATGACAGCTGCCACACAAACCACGTCAGCCGAGGAATGCTGTGCTTCCTGGAACCCCGGTCTCCACCAGTAGGTGAGACAGATGAGCAGTTCACCAGGAGGACCCCTGGGAAGGTGCTTCAGTCCACACTAGCCCGGAGCCCTGACTCTTACAACCATTGGTCTCCAGGACGCTTCCTTCCCCCACCAGGGCTCTCTCTGGCATTAGCTTACAATTTTTCCTTCTAAAAATACGTCCAGCCACATTATTTATTATGTTCATTTTATGAATTATGCTTCTAATACCAAGCATTAGGTACGTCTTCATAAGCATAAATAAGCTTTATCTCACAATGAACTAAGCAAAACATTTACATGAAACACACAACACCCCCCCACCCCCCAAATTTTAAAAGCAGCAAAGGTTTTCAAAGAGAGGAGTGAAAAAATTGAGGTCAGTGCTTTGAAACTATCACTTTGGTCCAGGAAAATAAGGCTGGGGGGTGGGGGTGGGGAAACAGGGACATTGGTGGTGGGTGGTGTACACTGGCAGAGGGATGGGTGCTGGATCATTGTATGACTGAAACCCAATTATGAACAGCTTTGTAATGGCCTATCTCACACACGGTAGGGCGTTTGCCTTGCAAGTGGCAACATGGCCGACCCGAGTTCGATTCCTCTGCCCCTCTCGGAGATCCCGGCAAGCTACCAAGAGTATCTTACCCGCACAGCAAAGCCTGGCAAGCTCCCTGTGACATACTGGATATGCCAAACACAGTAACAAGAGTCACAATGGAGATGTTACTGGGCCCGCTCGAGCGAATCGATGAACAACGGGAGGACAGTGACAGTGACAGTGATCTCACAGATATTCTATTTAAAAAAATTTTTTAAGTGACTTGTCTAGAACATAGAAATATAAAAAGAATACTCAAAGTCTGACACAGAAAGAAGATAGATAATATAAGAGAGAAGCTGCGAGACAGAGGAAATGTCAAAGATCCCACACGTCAAAAGAGAGGCAGTGCCCCAACAGTGGGGCCACAGTTCGCAGACGTCTACACTCAATAGGCTGTGAGCCAATTCCCGTCCAGGGGATGGCCTGGGCTCTTCCAGCAGGTGGCAACACGGCCAGTGGCCAGAGTGTGTGTGCACAGAGCAGCAGGCAGCAAGGGTGCCCGGCCCCCTCGCTCAGCACTGCTCTGCTCTCCCTCCCTCGGCCCTCTCACCCGTGACCCACTGCTCAGCCCAGCTGGCCGCCCAGACTGCATCCCTGGGAGAGGCCAGAACCCTGCCCGTGGCTGCCACACCCTGCAGCCCTCTGGTTGGGCCTTGGTGTAGAAGGGGCGGTCATGGGAAAGGGGGTGCACCAACCCTCCCAGAGGGAAGCGCCCACTTGCAGAGTCGGCTGTGGGCCTGCAGGCCGGCAGGCCAGAGGAGGAGAGTGGGTGTGTGAGGGTCTGGCACCGGCTCCTGCGGGAGGCAGGTGTCCACGCCTCTCAGTTATGAAGCACGGGCGGTGGCCCTGGTGGCTGCATCGGAGCTCGCCAGGAAGCAGGTCTGACGGGCCCGTGCTGGATGCCAGGTCAGTACTCACATGTCCCCTCTGGGTATAACTTCATAGATGAGGGAGCCTGAGGTCACAGGCGCCACTGCTGAGGCAGAATCTCGGCATCCACCAGCCCTGTGGGTGGGACCTGGGCTGGTGCCGATACATTTTCCTTTGGTTTTGGGGCCACACCCAGCAGTGCTCGGGGGCTACTAACAGCACTTTCTTTCCGTTTTTATGCACTGGAGGCAACTGGAGCACCTGGCGGGCAGGGGCTGGCCTGCCTGGGCACACCCTCCTCCGGGCTCAGGTGCTCAGCCAGACACAAGGGCACCTCATGCAGGGCAAGGGTCTAAGTATCCGCGAGAGCAGGCAGGGGTCGCTGCAGCTCCTGTGTTGACAGCTGCCCAGCAGAGAAGTAGGAGAGTGCTCCTTCTGGCACAGCCAGGCGGGACACTGGCTGGCTGCGGTTTCCAACACACATACACACACACACGGAAATGCCTCCCGAAGCTACACACACACACACACACACACACACACACACACACACACACACAGAAATGCCTCCCGAAGCTGTGTGTCATCCTTGCGCAGGGGCTACACTTGCACATCATCCTGTTCTGATATTAGTCCATGTGCGACCGAAGCAAGCACTGCTTTAGCCTTTTCAAGAACCTCATTCATCAGATTGAACATTTCCCACCTGCGATAAGGGCTATTTTAAAATTCCATCTCTCCATGTCCAGGCGCAGCCAGTGAGGTATGGATTACGTAAGACACAAACTACCCTTGGCTGCCAGCGAGCCGGAGACAGCGAAGAAGAATCCCAAAGCCAGCCAGAGCGAGAGTGGCTGTCTGGTCTAAATGCCTAGCATCCTTATGCCAAGAGTGACCCCTGAACGTAAGCCAGAAGTAAGCCTTCCCTTAGCACTGAAGGGGAAGCCTCAGTTGCCCTGGCCAGTGGGAGAGGGGGCCAGTTTCCTCTCTTCCCTCATCAACCTAACACTCATTCCACCCCCCACAGCTCTGTCTCAGCATCCCCAGGACTTCCCAGGAGCATGAAACTCTGCCATGGAGTCTAGGCTGACGGGGAAACTGAGGTAATGGGCAAACAGGCTGCAAGGTTGCTTCCCCTGCCAGTGAGGAAGGAAGCCGGCTTCCCCTTGCCCCTGTCGCATCCACCTGACACAAATTTCATCCCCAAGCCCTGCCCTGGCGTTCCTAGAGTTTTCCAGAACCATAAACCGCTGTCCCGGAGCCTAAGCCAACAGGAGGCCGAGATAAGGAGCAAGGACGCTGCGGGAGACCGAGGCCAGCTGCACAGCTTTGTGATTTCCTGGTATCTTCTGTGAACACGTGCAGCCTCGATCCGGGGTGCCAGAGCCTTAAAAAGGCCCCACGACCCAACCTCACTGAGTCCCACCTAAGTGCCTGGGGAGCTTCTTTTCTTTTCTACTTTCCAATCAACTTTTCTACTTTCCGAGTCGGAGCAACAATGAAGATTCCTCAGCATTTTCATTCTTGAGAATACTGAAGAGCCTGGGAACAGGAAGGAGCAGGGGCCCGCCCAGAGGCAGCAGAGTGGCCGGTGTGGCCCAGAAACAAACCAAGACTTCTAGAGCAAACTCCGGCCTGACATTCAGCCACCGCGTCCTGACATTCAGCCACTGATGCTTCTGACATGCTTCTCTCTCCCAGACACCAGGACCCGCTCCTTCGGGGCTCCCCGTTGGCCCGGGGATGCCACTCGCTCATTAATCTTGAGGCTCTGGGCAGTCTGCCTAAGTCCAATCAGTTTGGATCATGCTCACAGCAGAAGCCCATGGCCAGCCCCTCGGGAAACGCACCTTCCGAGCGGGCCCCGCTCCTGCGGGTCCTCCCAGGCCGGTGGCGCCTGCACACCGCGCTGCTCCTCCAGGGGCCCGGCCCGGGGCCGCTCCTGTAGGCCGCGGAGAAGCGCCTCCAGCTCGGCCTTCTGTTCCTCCAGCACCTGGACCTGGAGGCTGAACGCCCGCTCTGCCTCCTTCCTCTCCTGCGCGAAGTCCCGCTTCATCACCTCTGCCTCCTTCTCGTAGTGCTTCACCTGAGGAAGGAGAGCTATGGCAACCAGGTTCCCGGAGCACTGACCTGGGAGCACTGCCTTCGTGTGCGGGAGGGGGCGAGGTAGGGAGAGCCCCAGGTGACGTACCCTGATCTCCTGCTTCTGCCCCCCGGGTCCCAACAGCCCTGTAAGAAGGGACCCTCCCCAAGGACGGGGTGACTCGGGAAGGAGGCCCTGCCCAGGGAGGCCCATGGCCCGGAGGACGGATGCAAGGGGAACCTCGCCCAGAGCACCCCCTCCCCATCACGGAGCCCCCGCCCAGGGCACCCCCTCCTCGTCACAGAGCCCCGGGCAGGCCGGCCTCCCTCACAGTCCCAACCTGCATCTCCAGCTGGATCTTAAGGTCCTGATAATGCTCCTTCGCCTGCTCCAGCATGAGTTCCGTCTGGATACTCGCCGCCAACAGGGGAGAGCCTGCAGACGAGAGGCCCCGCTCACACCTGGGCTCTCCCCTCCACCCCAGTGCAGCTGCTCCACAGACACACCCCGGTTCCCGGGCCCTCCAAGCTGTGCTCTCTGGAGTCCGCCAGAGCAGGATTCCATGACGTGCCGCCTGTCACCGCTGATGGCAAGTGCACAGAACTGGAAGCATGGAGGCCGGGGGCAGAGGCTGGACGGCTAGGAGCAGACGTGTGGCCCCCCTTCTCGGGGAGGACCTACCACGCAGCCTTCTACAGCCACAGGAAAGCAAGAGCAGCCCCTGTTCCCGCGGTTCTCTGCCCTGGGACGCACTGCAGGAGCAGGTGAGCACTGGCGGGGCTGTGTCCGGAGAGGCACACCCCTCCCTCCCACCTGCTTGCCCAGACATTTCCCGGGGAGGAAAAGTGACAGGCCCAGGAGCACCGGGTTGAGAGCAGTCAGGTCACTGACTCAGGAGGGCCAGCCCGCACGGTGGCCACGGGCTGCCGGGAAGGGCCTGGCAATGAGGCCCTTGGCCCTGGCAGCCTGGATGCAGGTGGGAAGACCACCGCACCACTGACCAGCTGGCAGCTGAGATGCCAAGGCCTGCCCGGGGAGGCGCCATGGGAGCTGGAGCGGGTCTTGCTCTGCCCACGCCCTGGGATGCTGGCTGCCCTCAGCCCCTGCCCCCAGTACCTTCCTGGTGTCCACTCCTGGTGGGGATGGACAGCCCTCTCCACAGCCACAAACCCAGACAGCTTACCCCACCCCTTCTGGCCAACGGAGGCAAACAATGTATGAGCAGAGACCCCTGGGGCGGGGGGCTGTTCTCCCCCATATACCCCGAATCCAATGGAAGGAGCCCACGTGAGCACTTCGATACAGTGCTCTGTTTCAGTGGCAGCTGGGGCTGGACACAAGACAGCAGGGAGGCCCTGGCTTGCACGCGGTCAACATGGAGTGGACCCCTGATGTACACCAGGAACCTGCTGGGCATTTGCCTGGGCACTGCCAGGAGTGGGCCAGAAAACACATCACACACCAGAAAGGCATCAGGGCATTTCCTGGTGGTCCCTGGGCTGGGAGGGTTTCCTGCAGGCCAGCTGCACAATGGACTCATCCTGCTGCCAAAGGTCCCATGGGCATCCAGGGCCCTCCCAGTCCCCAGAGTGTGGTCCAACCCTCACACAGGCTGGAGCACTGCCCGCTGGGCTCAGAGGAGCTCCTGTACCCTAGCCAAAGGCGTGGGCATGAGCACCGCCCAGCCCACGGGCCTCTGCACAGAGGTACCACACACGGCCGCTTCAGGCCTCTGCTCCCCAAAGCAGTGGGCAGTGACAGCCCCTCCCCCGCCCGGCCTCACCTGGCCAGCCTAGTTCCTGACTTCCCACTAGTGACCTCTCCTGCCTGAGGGATGCTCGTGTCACCGCACGGTGGAGACTCTGGGCCATGTCGCTCTGGGACCCAGTCTATGGCGCCAGAGTGATGATGGGTGACTGTCCAGCTGGGCTTGCAGCCACCACACTGTAAGCCCTGTCTGTGGCATCTCCAGGAGAGGGTGGTGGCCCTGTCCTTGGGTCCTGGGTGTTGTGAGCACAATCCTTGGGGCACTGCAGGGCTGTGACCCTACCTGCTGGGCAGTGTCCAGGGAGCAGCTGCCCATCCGTCTGTGTCTGTGGCCGACCTTGGGGGTTCAGGGGCAGCCTTGCCTGCAGACCCTCGAGGGCCATCTGCAGCTCATCGTTCTGGTCCTGTAAATCCTGTGGGGCAGAGCACAAAGCCCCTCAGGGCACTGCGGCCCCTGGCCAGGCCTGCTGCAGACAGGCCCATGCAGCCGAAGCTCCAAGCACCGTCACAGCGAGGCATCTGCCTCGCACACAGCCAAGATGGGCTCAAGCCCCAACAGCCCATCAGGTCCCCCAACACCTCTGGGAGGAAGCCCTGAGCCCGGCCCACTCTGACCCAACCCTGCATGCCCCTGCCAAGAGACAGAGAGGGACAAGAGGGGATGTCTTCCTGCATCGAGTGGGCTGTGCTCAGTGGGCCGTGCGGGGGTGGGGGGGGGGCTCAGGGCCGAGAGGAGGCAGCTAGAGGTCAGGGCCCTTAGGGCAGATTCTGGGCGGGTGGCCGCACACCCCCACCCTGTCCCCTACCACCATCCCCACAGGGGGGAAAGGCGGAGGCTCGTCTGCGGGTTCCCCGATCGAGGACCTCTAGCCTCCAGAACTGTGAAAACTGAATTTCTGTCACTCTCGGCCCTGCAAGATGATGCTATTTGGTGGCAGGCATGGCCAGACTATGGTCAGACAAAGCTGGCACGTTAAGGACAAGGGTGTGAGGGCCACTGACAGCAGCAACATGCCTCCTCGGAGCCTTGGGAGAAGGAGAAGCTGGCAAAGCCGAAACACAAGCCTCGGGTGAGAGCGTCATAAGGGGGAGGGAGGGTAGGCAGTCAGTGTCATGCAGCCTAGAACATTCTCATCAACAGGACGTAGAGGGGGCTCTTGGGAGCAAAGGCTGCAGGTGTAGCTGCTGCCATTTCCGTGGCGGGAACTCCCACATGGCTGACTTCAAGCTACCCAGGGTCTGACCCGAGTGAGCACTCAGCATCAGCCCTGCTGCATCCTGGGTAGAGCAGGTGTGGTCCCCAGGAGCAAACAGGGCTCGGCTGAAGAAGCCACGCGCAAGGCAGGTGCTGAACTTCCACACTCATGTGACTTCCCTTCAGATGGTTCAGAAACAACCGCACACCCCCACCAACACCCAAATGCACACCCATACACACACCCATACACACACAACCCACACATATACACACCCACACCCACGCACACACACTCACCCATTCACCTACACATACACACCCCCTCACACACTCGCCTGCACGCGCGCACACACCCACATCCACACCCACAGAGCTCTGTGCATGCCGTCACAGCAGAAACAGTGGAATGTGAGGGGCTGGAGCAAATAGCACAGCAGGGAGGGCGTTTGCCTTGCACGCGGCCGACCCAGGTTTGATTCCCGGCATCCCATGTGGTCCCCTGAGCATCGCCAGGAGTCATTTCTGAGTGCAAAGCCAGGAGTAACCCCTGTTCACTGCTGGGTGTGACCAAAAAAAAAAAAAAAGAGTGGAATGTAAGTACCTCGTCACTCAGGGGAAAGAGGGCCTGTTTGTCCTCTGCATTATTCTGGTTCGGCAGGAGTGGAGGGAGGGAACTTTAGGTATTGTGAAAGATTATTTTCAGTTAAGCTTAAAAACTTTTAAAGGTTGGATGTGTGGGGGCATCCACAGCTGGTTCTGCCCAGATCAAACAGGGGTTGGCTGAGTAAGCCACATGTGAGGAAAGCACACGACTCGCTCCTGGCCTCCAGGTAATTTTTTAAAATGTATTAAAGTTTTTAAAATGTGTTTGAAACAACCACAAATGTACAAAATATGGGAAAGAAAAAATTTGGAACTAAGGAGATGAACACTAAGAAGTAAAATAATCTGCTTTATTTTATTTTATTTGCTTTTTGGGTCACACCCGGCAATGCACAGGGGTTATTCCTGGCTCTGCACTCAGGAATTACTCCTGGCAGCGCTCAGGGGGCAATATGGGACGCTGGGAATCGAACTCAGGTCGGCCGCGTGCAAGGTAAACGCCCTACCCACTGTGCTATTGCTCCAGCCCCCAATCTGCTTTTTTTAAAGAGAAAAAAAAAAAAGAAGCAACAAGAACTGAGCAGTGTTAAGGATCACACACACTGGAGACAGAGATAAAGACATTTCCACAGAGGAACGCGTGGCGGGGACAACCAGGGACAGGCCCGAGTCTGCACAGCCTGAAGGAGAGAACCCGTGGCTGCAAGGCCCCATGCGACTGTCCACCCCAGGCCCGCGTGGGAGGGGTCCCTGCGAGCCAGCTGACTGGGATGGGGAGGGGGAGAGCAGGCACGGCACACACCACCACTCACCTGCACCCACTGGCAGGGCCGGGAGAAGCAGCAGGAGCGGAGACACAGCTTTACTGGGGACGGGGCACTGGGTGCTGAGTGGACAGCGGCCCTGGCGCGCCCAGCTCTGCGCCTGCCCCCACCGACAGGCCTGACAGGTCGGGGGGAAGGGTAGAGGCCAGGGCATCAGCTCCAGGGGAGCTAGTGGAACTGAGGCCCGCAGTGCCGCAGCGGGGACCACACTCCCATGGACAGAAAGGGGAGGATGCGACCCTTGGAGGCCCCCAGGAGGGCGGGGCGACGGGCAGCACCTACCCGGCACTTGCGCTGGAACTCCTTAAGGAGCTGGGCAAAGCGTTCCTCCTGGGCCAGTAGCTCTGCGCTCTGGGGCTCCAGCTGCAGGCAGGGGATATGGGCAGTCTGGGGCCACCATCCCTCACCCGCCGTACCCCGTCTCCTGCTGCAAGGGCTCCACGTGCTCTCACCCCTCCGCAGCCCCCCGCCCAGAACTCCCAGAGCACCATACTCTGCCTCTGTCCCGGGGGCCTGTGTGGGTGGCCCTACCACCCCTGCCATGGGGGAGGGAGCATGATCACAGAAGCCCCCCACCCTTGGCTTAATCAGAGCCAGCGGCCTCAGTCTCAGGACACTGACAGTCCCCTTCCAGAAGGGTCGGGGGGGGGCATACCCAATGGGCTTCTTCCGGGCTCACAGCCCAGAGGTCAGTCCTGGAGGACCTTGGGGGACCCTTATGGCACCAGGGATGAAACCAGGGCCGGCGAGGTGCTGGGCAAGCACGATGCCCTCCCGCGATCGCTCTGGCCCTGACACTGACCCCTCTGGGTTGACCCACAAGCTCGAGGGCTGGAGACCGGCGGGGGCTCACCTTGTCCTTCAGCACCGACTCCAGGTCCTGCTGCAGCCTCCGGACCAGCCTCTGGGACTCTGAGAGCTTCTCTGCCAGCTCAGTCACATCCTTCTGCAGCCGGCTGTTCTCCTGTGGAACAGCACATGAGCTGGCCTGAGCGGGAGCTCCCTCCAGGCAGGGCTCAGAGCAGCCAGGACGCAGAAGTGCCCCGAAATGCAGACACGGGGCCACCTCGCCACTGTGCTCCTGCCCCAGTGCTCACGGACATGAGGGACACAGCGCCGGTGCCCACCCCAAGTCTGAGAGGAGAGCCCCCTCCCCAGCTGCTCCTGAGCCAGAGGGCACGGCCAAAGACGGGGTTGGGGCAGTGGAGGGTGGGAGGGTGGGAGGGAGGCAAAACAGGGTGTTCAAATGCCCAGTGGGCAACTCAGAAAGACCAGGAGGGCTGAGGAGCTCACTAGGACCAACCCAGGATGGCCATGGGTGCAGTTGGGGGTGGAGGTGTGTGTGTGTGTGCGTGTGTGCTGGGTAACGGTCAGTGCGTTCTCCTCTGCAGCAGGGAGCTTAGGGTTACTGAGCAGCACCCATCATAGTGCTCCTGGAGCACTCCCATTCATCTTTAACTCCTTCTTTGTGCTCCACTTTCCCTATCTGTTCATCGCTCATTTCCGCTAATCAGAACCTGTGACTCTGGGTTTTGCGTTTGTAAGTGAAGTACTGCTTTTCTCTTTCCCTGTGTCCTTTGCAGTTTACTTAGAGCAAAGTGCTTTTTGTACAGACACAGGAAGACAGTTGATGCTGTGCTCTTGTTACGTGAGAGTTAACTGACTTTGAATCATATTTGTATATATATTTGTAATTATTTAATATAATAAACATAATAATTTGTATATAATAATAAATACAATAACGAATATGTCGTATTTTCTCGACCTAGGCCTCAGTTGCCCTTAGTTCCTAGCATCCCAAAAGCAGGGTCCCAACAAAGGGATTGGATGGAGCCAGGGCAAGCCGTGAGCTACCCTGCATTGAAATGGGAAAGGCCAAGTGCCAGAAAACTTATAATAAGAGCACGGTCTTGGACAAATTCTGTCATGACTGAAAAAGAAGTAACTGGATAAGGACCCTGCTGGGGTTAGGAAAGACTAACCTGGCCTGAGGACTGCAGTCTGGGATCTGTATAGCGAGATGTCCCCAGGAGATCCACCCTTTAAACTCAATAATATCTTACTGTGTTCACACAAATGATGAGAAAGATTATTAAGAAGCAAATTTAAGATGACCATTTAAATGGATATGGACTAGGGAAAGGAGAAGTGAGGCCCCAGAGGAAATTTCCACCTGTGAGCGGACTTGTCCTAGAAGAGCTTCCCCTTCCCCAAAGGGGCTTTCATATGCCGACTGTGCTCTCTCACCTGTTGTAATTGTGTGGAGACGGAAATAGGGGCAGTGTGAGACTGGGACAGGGAGGCAGAGGCACGGAGTAAACATACGGAGTAAAGGGCCTGTCCCCTTCTTCCTGTGTCTGTTGGCAGCAGTGGGCCAAGGTGGGGACGTGGGTCACAGCCACCAAACGCAGCACACACCCACACGCATTCTGAACACACATCTGCAGGGTGGGGGTGGGTGCAGGTGCGGGGGTGGGTAGAGGGAAGGGTGTGTGTGTAGGGGTGGTGGTGGGTGGGCTCTGAGGCCCCCAAAGCCAGAACCCTCTCTGCGGCAGGCCCTGGCGGTGGTTTCCGTCCCTACCCCCTGAGCCGGTTCCGCCTGGGGATGGGCTGCTGCCCCTCTGCTCCACATGGCACCATCTCCACCTACCTGCAGGGCCAGAGCCAGCGCATCCCGCAGGCCAGCCTCCCGCTCACGCGCCTGCCCGAGGCCCCGCTCCAGCTGGGCCGTGAGCCCCTGGGCCTGCTCCCGTTGCAGCTCACGCTCCTGCTCCGCCTGCGCCCGCAGTGTGCTCAGCCGCTCCCCGAAGTCCCGCTCCAAGCGCCTGCAAGGACAGACAGCCTGAAGCCCGGCCCGCCACGCTGTGTGAGGTGCGGCAGTGGAGGGGCACTGAGGGGCGTGCTGGCTCCCGGGGCCTCTGGAGCCACGGCACCCACTGGGTGGGCTGGCAGCTCTGCCGTCGCCCCCACCCGCGGGCAGCAGGCCCCCGAGGGTGCCCAGTTCCTGGTGGAAGATGGTGCCTTTCTCCCCAGCAGGCGACTCGGCGGGTCTCACTGTCCTGGAGCAGAGCCGAGCTTTCCTGGGCAGCCGGCACAGGGCAGTGTCCTGGCCATGTCGACAGGGGGGTAGCGCCCCTGCAGAGACCATCCAGAGACCCCAGGGAGGCGGCCAAGACAGTCAGCTACCAATACTCCACAGCTCTCTGAAGCTGCAGGTGACGCCCTGATGAGAGTGTGACAAACAGCTGCGCCGGGTCAGTGTGTATGAGACTCATGCTGGGAGTCATGGGCAGAGGCCATCGGGGGGGAGAAGCGCTTGGCCCTCGCCCCTCAGGCCTCCTGACTCCAACCGTCCCAGGCTTGTGGCCCGATGCTTGGACCCAGACAGGCCCCGAGTGTGTGATGCCTGCTATGTATCACAAAACTCTTTGCAGGCAGCTGGGAGGGATCAGAACCATGTGCGCGACAGAAACCAAACCAGCCCAGCGGGCCTCAAGCCGACCGCCACTCAGCGCCGGACGTAAGTGCTCTGTAAAAGGCATTTTCTCCCTTCAGTGGCACTGACCTCAAAGGCTGCTGGGCGGGACGGGGGAGGGACGCTGGCTGGACAGCAAAGGCAGAGCCAAGCGATTCCGAGGCCCACAGACCCTCTACCCTACCTTTTCCCTGCCCGGGTCTCCACCAGAGATTCCGAGCAGCTGAGCAAGGAACAAAGAGCACTGGGTCGAGAGTCACAGGGGGCAGTGGGGATGTCAGCCTGGCCACCACGCGGAGTCTCTCGACAGCTAATGGCATTTCCTTCTTCCTGGGGGAGCTGCCTCCCACCCCTTTGCTCAGGCTTGCTCCAGGGGTGCCAGGGATGGAGCAGGGGCCCTGGAATCTCAACCTGACCCCTCAGCTCCTAAGTTTGTTTGTTTGTTTTGCTTTTGGGGTCACACCCAGCGATGCTCAAGGGTTGCTCCTGGCTCTGCACTCAGGAATGACTCCTGGTGGTGCTTGGGGGACCGTAGGGGATGCTGGGAATCGAACCTGGGTTGGTTGCGTGCCAGACAAACACCCTCCCCGCTGTGCTATCGCTCCGGTCCCAGCTCCTAAGTTTTTGATGGTGCTTTCACCCTGAAGGTCAGAGCACTGAGTGGGTCTCGAACACGCCACCAACCCTCCAGAGCTGTGCAACGTTTCCTGGCCCCCAGACAGGCAATCGATGCACTGGCTAAACTGACACAGTAGCTGCTCACTGAAGCACTGAGACTCAGAGCTGGGGTCAGGGCCCAGGCCTGGCTGTGCTCTGAAGCCCGGCCTACTGTGCTAAGCAGGTCCTGTGGTGCGTGCCTCACGTGTCCCACCCACAGGGCAGGGTCTCCACAAGGCCCCCCCTGACACACAGGCGCACCTCAGATCGACCCGGCAGCTGGTGGCCTCAGGCTTAACCAGAAAGGCACTGTGGAGTCCAGTGAAGGTTAGGGTTAGTTTCCCTGAGCCCGTGGCTGTGCCACAATACTGCGAGTCCCCTATGGTGCGTGCCCGTACGCTCACCCCCACACAGGCTCTCCAGACCCACAGAGACACCCCCTCCCTCCCCCATGCTCTCTCGCCCTCACACACTCACACACACGTTCATACTCTCACACTCACTCTCACATACTCTTACACACTCTCACCCTCACACTGGAACACCCTCTCACACACACTCACGCTTACTCATCACACACTCACACTCATTCTCACACAGACTCATAATCATCACTTATATCCTCATACTCAAACTCTTACATGCTCACTCTCACACTCTCTCAATCTTACACACTCATACTCGCACAACTACTTTCTTCCTCTCTTACACTCTATCATACACTTGCACATACACTCACACACTCACCCACACTCACCCACACACTCTCTCACACTCACTGAGGATCCTGGGTGCACAGGGAGTGCATCTCGGATGCCCTTCTCCTCCCAATCACAGAGAAGCACGTGTGGGCCCCTTCTGGAGACCAACCTGTACCTCGATTTTCTGCACGGGGCCTTCTTCGCTGCCCCAGAGCCAGAGGGGACCCGGCCTCTGAGCAGGGGCAGGGTAGGGGCCCCACCAGAGCACAGAGGAAGGCCGCGGCCACGCCAGGGCAGCTCTGTCTCCACTCTGAGCCCCAAGCACAGGGGCTGTTGGGGCCCTTTTCCTAGGCTGTCACAGGGCAGCTGGCAGGGGAAGGTCTCCTGTCCCCATTTTACAGATCCAAAGTCCCAAAGGGCTCGACTGGGTTTTGTTTGTTAAGCTTGACCAGTGTTTTCTATATCTTCTAAATTAATCCTCCGTCAGCCTGATGATGGGCAGTAATTTTTTCCCCGTCTGTGGGGAGTCCTTATTCTGGCCATTTCTTTCGTTGTACAGGAGCTTCTCAAATTCATATAGTTCCATTTGTTTAGTTTTGCTTCCAAATGCTTGGTCAATGGCATCGACTCCCTGAAGATCCCTATAGCTTAAATGCTAGGATAGGTTAATTTCCAAGATATATAAAGCAAAACTTAACAGTAACAACAACAAAAACATCTTACCAACAACAACAACAACAACAACAAAATCAAAACATGGGAAGAGGAGATGCACAAAACCTCCCCAAAGACATCTAGATGGCCAGCAGGAATATAAAGAAGCTCTACATCACTATTATCAGGGAAATGCAAACCAAAAGAACAACGAAATGTCTCTTCACACCAGTAAGACTGCTCACAAAGAACAAGAACGAACAGTGCTGGTGTGGGTGTGGGGAAAAGGGACCTTCATCCATAGCTGGTGGGAACATGGATGGGTTCGCCCTACTGGGAAACAATATGGATGAGTCTCAATGAACGGAGAAAGCTTCCATATGACCCAGGAGTCCCACTCGTGCCGTCTACTCCAGGAGCTCCAGGACACAGGGCTCCTACATCCACTGCAGCACTGTTCAGGACAGCCAAACTGGAAACAAGCCAAGTCCCCAAGAACAGGTGAAAGGATAAAGAAACAGTGGGACATGCACACTGGAACAGGATTCAGCCCTGAGAAAAGATGCGATCATGCAATCTGCTGGGCTATGTGGACAGAACTGGAGAACACGGTGCTAAGTGAGGTCAGCGGGAAGGAGCGGAGCCAGGCGGGATGATCTCCCTTATATGTGGATGCACAGGAAGCCAGGCCAGAGCAGCAGAACTGCCCCACGGAATGGAGATTAGCATGGCGGGCGGGTATATGAGTGTGCACGCATGTGTACTGTGTGTGTGTGTGTGTGTGTGCTGTGTGTGCTGTGTGAATGTTGTGTGTTGTATATGTGCACTGTGTGCTCTGTGTGTGTGCTGTATATGTGTGCTGTGTGCTCTGTGTGCTGTGTGTGCATTGTGTGTACATGTACTGTGTATGGGTGTGTGCTCTGTGTGTATATGTGTGTGTGCTGTGTGAATGCTGTATGTGCGCTGTGTGCTCTATGTGTGTGCTGTGTGCCCTGTGTGTGCTCTGTGTGTGCTGTTTATGTGTGCTGTGTGCTGCATGTGTGTGATGTGTATGTGTGCTGTGTGTGTGCATGTGCTGTGTGTATGTGTGTGTGCTGTGTGCTCTGTGTTTGTGCTGTGTGTGCTGTGTGAACGCTGTATGTTGTGTATGTGCGCTGTGTGCTCTGTGTGTGTGCTGTGTGTGCACGCATGTGCTGTGTGTGTGTTCCATGTGTGTACTGTGTCTTGTGTGCTGTATATGTGTGCTGTGTGCTCTGTGTGTGTGCTATGTGTGCATGTACTGTGTATGTGTGTGTGTGCTCTGTGTGTGTGTATATGCGTGTATGCTGTGTGCTGTGTGTGTGCTGTGTACTGTGTGTGTGCTATGTGTGCTTTTTGTTATGTGCTGTGTGTGTGTGCATGTACCATGTATGTGGGTGTGCTGTGTGTGTACTGTGTGTGTGATGCGTGTGTGTGCTGTGTGCTGTGTGTGTGCTATGTGTGCTTTTTGTTATGTGCTATGTGTGTGCATATGCTGTGTATGTGTGTGTGCTGTGTGTGTACTGTGTGCTGCGTGTGTGTGCTGCGTATGTGTGCTGTGTGCTCTGTGTGTATGTATATGTGTGTGTGCTCTGTTGAGGCAGGGTGGGAGAGTGGCAGACACTCCAGAGGGGAGAGCGCTGCTGTCTGCATGGGGCCCTGTCACTGATGGTCTGACAGAACTGTCAGCTGTGGTGGTGCCCTCGGCCCACCTGGCAGCACCCCCTTGGGAGTGGGCTGTGGAAGTTTCTACCATCTGGACAGGAGCCCCTGAGTGTGGAGACCACTGAGCTCTCCTCAAGGGGTCCGCCAGGGGGGTGTCAAGGCCCCGCAGAGGAGCAGAGCGGCTTCTCCAGCCCACCACCGGGAGAAACACGAGACACACGGGGACGGGGACTTCCTCCCGGTCTGTGCATGCGTCCTGGTGGGGAAGGCAGGAACCCTGAGGGGCGGGTGGCTCCCCGCGCCCACACTCAGCCCCCTCCCACCCCAAGTAGCCCCGGGCTGACGCCTACTTGAACCTCTCCTCCGTGAGCTGCTCCAAGGCCGAGTGGCAGTCGTCCATCTCTCTGGCAAACTCCAGGTTCCTCTTCTCGGCTCTCTCCAGGTCCTGCCGGGCTTTGTCTCGCTCCTTCTCCATCTGCTCTGCCTGGCCCCTGCCGCAGGAGGGAGCGGCTCAGGCCTGGGCAGTGCAGGAGCGTGGAGGCCCCAGGAGGGGCAGAGCCAAGTGCCGCCCCAGCTGCGCCCATTCTACAGATACACATGCTGAGGAAACCCAGTGCCCAGCCTCGGCCAGTTGGCAGGCCTTGGAACCCGAATGGCTGTCTAGCCAGGGAGCTGCAGTCGCCCGTGAGGCTTGGGCTTCCTAGGGAACTGGGTGTGTGAGCGAGGCCCTCGTGTGTGCAAAGCACCTACTTGGGGACCATTTCCCGGGCTAAGGGGGTTCATCTGCACAGCTCTCCACAATTGCCGGTCCTGCGCAGGATGCCAAGTCTTCCCAAGGAAGATGCTTCCTCCTGCCACCTTCCCTGCAGCTCCCCCAGAAACACAGCCTGGTCTGCACCAGCTGAGACAGGCGGGGGGCCCGCATCCCTGGGCACTCGGTGCGTCCTTTCCTGCCGCCTGGCCCTGCCCTCTGTGGCCACTCTGGGACCAGCTCAGGCTAATGGGGAGTTTCACCTGGAAGCCTCTGCAGCGACTAAAATGCTCAAACCCTCCCTCTGGACCCGCCTCTGCTGAAGGGTGCTGGGAGGAGACCGGCTTCCCGGCTTCTCCCCGGGGGTTGGGGAGAGGCCAGGCACCCCCGAGTGGCCAGAAAAAGCTGAACCGCAGCCCCTGGATGGCCCCAGCTCTCCTGTAGGGATGCCCGCAGGCACTCGGCACAGAGGCTCACCTCAATCCCCACCACAAGCTCCGGGGTGCAGGGCACTTACTGGCGGAAGCTCAACTCCTGGCGGTAGCAAGCCAAAGCCGCCTGCTGCGTGGTCCCGCTGACAGCCACCAGCTCGTTCTCAAGGGCCCACGCCAGCTCCAGGAGGTTCACCTTCTCGTCCACACTGAAGTCAAGACTCTGGAAGGAGCAAGCCCGTCGGAGCTCAGGCGACAGACACCTCTGCCTCCTGAGGCATCCCGGAGGCCCAGGGCTGACTCCACCGGCCTGGGAGTGCTCCCCCTCACAAATTGCAGGGGAGGGGGGCCCAAACCCACCCCTGCAGTGCCTGGGAAGCCTGCAGTCTCCCTGGGCTGGGAGAGGGACGCAGCAGGGCTGTCGGGCCAGAGGACAGCACAACAGGTGGCATGTGCATGCAAAGCGCCAACCTGGGCTGGGCCCTAGCACTGCCCTCCCAAACAAAACCAACCCAACAGCTCCCGGGAGGGTCTTGGGTACCCGGGGCTCACCCAAACCCTGACCTGCAGGACCTCGGCCCCGTTGGGAACCCCCTCCTGCGCCCAGAGGGCGATGAGCTGCTCGGGAGCGGCAAAGCCTGAGCCGTCGTCCAGGCTGCAGAGGAGCCGGGGGCCCGAGCACAGTGACACGAGAGAAGAGCTGGTCATCGTGTGGCAGCTCCCCTCCTCCAGCACCTGCGGGCAGGGGTGGCATCCATGGGAGACCTGCAGCCCCGTGGGAACAGGGAGCCCTGGGAGGTCGCTGGGGAGGAGTGGGTCTAACTGGGGGGGGGGGGGGGGGGGAGGGGCCTGAGTTAAGGCACCTGTCTGCATGTAGCTGAGCCCAGTCTGATCCCCAGCACGGGTCATTCCTGATCAGAATACCAGGAATATCCCAGGGAAGGGGTGGGGGGGGGGGGAGAGACAGAGAGAGACAGAGAGACAGAGAGAGAGGAAAGAGAGACAGAGACAGAGAGAGAGAGACAGAGAGAGGAGGGACAGAGGGACAGAGACAGAGAGAGACAGACACAGAGAGACAGAGACAAAGAGATAGAGAGGAAGGAGAGACAGAGAGAGGGAGAGGGAGAGAGACAGACAGAGAGAGACAAAGACAGAGACAGAGACACAGAGAGAGGAGGGAGAGAGAGAGGGAGAGAGAGAGAGAGGAGAGAGGGGGAGAGAAAGACAGAGAGAGAGAGGGAGAGAGGTAGAGGGGGGAGAGAAGGAAGAAAGAGAGGGGGAGGAAAGAGGAGAGAAAGAGGAAGGAGAGGGCGAAGAGGAGGGAGAGAGGAGAGGGGGAGGGGAGGGCAGAAGGAAGAGAAGGGGAGGGAACGACCCCCGTGGCCTGAGAACAGTACTGCTCATCCCCTCCTTCTGGGCACGCTGTCCAGGGCCAGAGCCACCTGCCCGTCTGGGTGCTATGGGCCTGCACAGGCCAACACCGTCTACCCAAACTCTCTGTCTTAGGCAGGACCCTCCACAAGCACTCACAGGGGGCTTCAGGGAGGAGACACGGGGGCTCTGAGGCCCTGCACAGCCTCCCCTCCCTGGACCAACCACCTCCAACCCAGCAAGACAGTGGCCTGGACCCAACGGCCTGTGACTGTTCTGGGCATGCCCGGTCACGCTGGGGCGGACTCCTCGCTCTGTGCTTGGGTGCAAGTTGGGGCATCCCAGCCGAGCTGTGCGAGCTCTCGGTCACAGGCTGTCTGGAGCCGTGACCAACTGCTCCATGGCCACACCCCACATGGCCATCAGGGCCTTATGTGCCCGTGATGGGGTGGGGCGTCCTCACGGACACGGAGCCCGAGGTGCAGAGAGACCCGCATTCGGGTCTGGAGGCCCCAGCTCACGGCCCACTCGCTGCTCCCTCTCACCTGGGCGTGAGACCAGGGCCCGCCGTGGCCGAGGCCCAGCTGCAGCTGCTCCAGGCTCAGCCTGCCGTCCCCGTCCCGGTCCAGCTGGCTGAACAGGCCCTGCAGCTCCTGCACAGAGTCCTGCATCCGCTCAGAAGCCGTCAGGCAGTCTGCATGCCTGGCCTGGACCCAGAGCGGCCAGTCTGGTCTGTCCCCCCACCCCCTGTGCTGACTGCTGTGGGCTGGCGGTGAGAGCAGGGGGGTGTTGGGGGCGGCCACTCTGGGGGGCATTCGGGCTGGGGCTCAGACAGGGCCGTGCAGGAGCGGGGAGGCCGTGGCGGCCCCACACGCTGAGCAGCTCACTGGTCACCGGACCCCTGTGGACGGGCAGTGGCCATGCAGAGAGAGGCAGCCCGTCCAGTGAAGGGTTTCCAGGTCGGGGCCCACCGCCCACAGAACGGGGACACGGCCCCTCTCACCTCCTCCAGGGCCGGGAGCCCGACGCTCCGGCACACCAGGGCCAGCTCCTGCTCGGTGAGGTGCCCGCTGCGGCCGACATCCAGCTGCTCCCAGAGGCCCCGGACACGATTCCCGGGAGGGTCTGAGGCGGTGCCATGGGGCTTCTCGGAGCCCCAGGTAGGCAGCTGGCCTGCAGCAAGGGTCAAAGGCGAGACCAGGCTGGCGTCTCCTTTCGCCCCCACACTCAGGCTCACTCCAAGCGGTGCCAGGAGTCAAATCTGGGTCACCCACGTGCTCCGGCCCTCACTCTGTGTTCGAGTGCTCCCAATATGATGGCAATTTCTCTAAACTGCCAAGCAGAACAGCAAAAGTCATCCCCGCAGTGAGGCTATTCATGCCTAGGGACGCCTGAGGGGCAGGGAAACTCCTTAAAAAGATCATCAGAGAGATGCAGATCAAAACAACAATGAGATATCATTTCACACCACAGAGACTGGCCCACATCCACAGGAACAAAAGCAACAGGTGCTGGCGCGAATGTGGCGAGAAAGGGACCCTCCTTCACTGCTGGTGGGAATGCCGGCTGGTCCAACCCTTTTGGAAAACAGTGTGGACGATTCTCAAAAAACTAGAATTTGATCTCCCATTTGATCCAGCTATAGCACTCCTGGGAATATATCCCAGAGAGGCAAAAAGGTATAGTCGAAGTGACATCTGCAATTGTTTGTTCATTGCAGCACTCTTTACAATAGCCAGGATCTGGAAAAAACCTGAATGCCCGAGAATAGATGACTGGTTAAAGAAACTTTGGTACATTTACACAATGGAGTACTATGTAGCTGTTAAAAAAGATGAAGTTATGAAATTTACATACAAGTGGTACTACATGGAAAGTATCATGTTAAGCGAAATGAGTCGGAAAGAGTGGGACAGACACAGAAAGACTGCATTCATCTGGGGAACATAAAGCAACAAAAAGGGAGACTAACACCCAGGAATGGCTGAGATTAGTACCAAGAATTTTGCTCCATGACTTGAAGGCCAGCCACATGTGCTAGGTGAAAAGGAGCTAGATAGAGAAGAGAGCACCAAATAAAGGGTGTTGTGAGGACCCTCCCAGGGTGGGAGAAGCATGCTAAAAGTAGTCTATAGACCAAACATGATTGCCACTCAATGCCTCTCTTGCAAAACACAGGACCCAAAAGAAGAGAGAGAGAACAAGGGGGAATGCCCTGCCACAGAGGCAGAGTGGGATGGGGGGATGGGGGTGGGAGGGATGCTGGGACCCGTGGTGGTGGAGGATGGGCACTGGTAGAGGGATGGGTACTTGATCATTGTATAACTGAAACCCAAGCACAAAAATTTATAAGTCTATAACTGTACCTCATGGTGTTTCACTAATAAAAAATAAATAAATAAATAAACAGGGTTTTTTGAAAGTTTGTTTGTTGTTGTTTTGGGCCACACCCAGGAGTGTTCAGGGGTCACTCCAGGCGGGCTTGGGGACTCTCGGGGGGCCAGGGATGGAACCTGGGTTGGCCACGTGCAAGGCATGTGCCCTGCTCACTGTTTCAGCCTCTGGCTCCCGCCGACGACTCCTCTGAGGTGGAGGCAGGGGCACAGGACGGCACCACGGCCAGTGACAGAAAGGCTTTGTGGGCCAGGGGACAGCACAGGGAGCACCCCACATGGTCCCTGAGCACCCACCGCCAGGAGCAACCCCTGAGCATCATTGGGTTATGACCCAAAAAAACAAATGAAAAATGGAAGAGTTCTGTCAGGGCTGGGCAAAAGCTGTTTTTCAAGCGGAGACCACACACGCGGCCCCTGGACCCGGTGAGCACAGACACACCAGCCCCTGGACATCGCGGCCCCTGGACCCAGCAAGCCCCTTTCTTCACCACCTGAGTCGAGGATGTCAAGTCCTGGGAAACACAACTGTGACGGCTCAGCTCGTGCTCCCCCCGGGACTGAGTGCTCACCCAGGGCCTGAATACTTCCCCCTGAGCCTGAATGCTCCCCCTGGGCCTGAATGGTCTCCCCGGGCCTGAGTGCTCCACCGAGCCTAAGTGCTCTCCCCCAGGCCTGAATGCTCGCCCAGGGTCTGAGTGCTCCCCCAGGGCCTGAGTGCTCACTCCAGGGCCTAAGTGCTCCCCCAGGGCCTGAGTGCTTCCTCCAGCACATGAAGAGGTCCCGTGTCCATGGCCCGCAGTCGTGAGCTCACAGCAGTGGACACTGCCCACCCATTTGGCCTCCATGTCCCAGGAGCTGTCAGTCTTAGCCTCCTGGCAACAGGTTGGCAGCGGCCTCTGGAGCCAGCATGAGGCTCCCAGTCCGGGAGCAGCTCTTATTCCACTTGGGCACCCAAAGGCCTGGGAATGTCACGGAGGGATCCAGGGCCCACTGGGGGACCCTGAGGGCACCTGAACCACGAACTGCCCTTTAGCCGAGGGTCTAGGATTGAGGGTCCGCAGGCAGCGGGCCCGAGGGCTGCAGAGACGTGGGGAAGTCTCCCCCAGGGGCACTGCATGCTCGCTCCCTGGCAAGGGGCCTGACCCTCAGCCCCACTGCTTTCCGGGCCCCGGTCGGGAACACGGGCCGCACCTTGTGCTTCGAACAGATCATTCGGAGGCTCTTTAGGGCTCTCGGCTTCCTCGTCCGACTTGAGGCTCTGGAAACAGAGACAGTGTGAATCCACCAGGCCTCAGCTGCGGACACAGCGGGTCTCTTGGATGGCCAGGGCCATGAGAAGGAAACTGAGAGCTTCGCCAGGCCAGGCAGGCAAGAGCAGGCCGGACTCGCGTCTGTGGAGGGCGGGATTCCCCCCGCAGTCACCCCACGCACAGCCTCCCCCTGAGCCCCGCCAAGCCCACGCCTTGGGCACAACGTCCCACAGACAGCCAGCGCTGGAATCTGGAATGAAGCCCCCTGCACATGCGACTCACGGGAGAACCCATGGTGAGGGGCTGCAGGGAAGCAGCCTGGTGGGGTCCACTCCAGGGGCACCCCTCGCCCCACCCCACTTCCAGCAACGCCTCTGGTGTGCACCCATGCCCGAGCGCATGAAAAGAAAAGGTGAGCCAGGCCAGGGAGACGGAGACCAGACCCACCTCCACACTCTCCAGGGACGCAGCGCGGCGCAGCTGGCTCCAGGACGGCTCCAGCAGACGCTGGACTTCAGCCTCGGGGTCGCGGGGCTCGGGGAGGCTGCGGCGTCCGTACCGCTTGGAGCCCCTCACATACTTGGGCGGGACAGCGCCAGGCGCAGCTGCAAGGACACAAGCAGCTTCGCCCTTAGCCCCCGTCATGGGGTCTCTCTAACCCAGAGGAGGTGCTCCAGCACCCAGAGGAGACACTGGAGCACCCAGAGGAGGCACTCGCCTCCCAGCACCCAGAAGAGACACTCACCTCCCCAGCACCTAGAGGAAACACTCCAGTACCCAAAGGAGACACTTGCCTCCCCAGCACCCAAAGGAGACACTCACCTCTGCAGCACCCAGAGCAGGTGCTTGCCTCCCCAGCACCCAGAGGAGACACTTCAGCACCCAGAGGAGACACTCCAGCACCCAGAAGAGACACTTGCCTCCCCAGCACCCAGAGGAGGCGCTCCCAGCACCCGCTGTGGCGCCCACAACACCAAGAGGTGCTCAGGTTGCAGAGGAGGCTCAAACTGGGGTGTCTGACCTGAACTCGCTGCTGTTTAAATTCGCCCGAGCTCATCTGACCTGAGTATGGTTCAATAGGCCGAGTGCAGCTCTGCTCAGGGAGCCTGGGATTTGAACCCCCACACTGCATGCATGCTCCCCGAGCACTGCCAGGAGCGACCCTGGACACAGAACCAGGAGTAGCCTCTGAGCACTGCAGGGGGTGCGCCCCCAAAGTAAGTGAAAGAGTAATATCAAATGTGATCTATTGTGCAACTGCCTAGCAGCAGCCACTGCAGGGGCTGGAAGGTCACGTCACTTCCCGCCCTGCTATCAGGATGCGCCTGAAACCCTGGCGGCAAAACGATCACAATCGATCACAACAATCACGCTGGACAAGAAGCGAGTGTTGAAAGAAGGTAAAGGGACACACCCAATAACTTCCCGGTATCTGTACTGCAAACTGCAATGCCCAAAAAGGGGGGGGGGGGGGCGGGAGGGAGGAGGGAGGGAGAAAGAGAAAAGGCGCCCGCCACAGAGGCAGGCTGAGGTGGGTGGGGTGATGGGAGGGAACCCGGATCACTGGTGGAGGGACGGGTGCTGGAACACTGCATGACTGAAACCCGATCATGAACGGCTTGTTAAGGTCTAGCTCACAGTGAGTCAATAAAAGTATTTTTTTGAAGAAACGGGCCTCAGCCCAGCCAGGGCGGGGGAGTGTGAGGCGTGGGCAGTGTCATGAGGATAAAGAATGGAGACGAGAGGCGCAAGCCACCGACCTGACTCCAGAGAAGCAGCGTTTTCCTCCGAGGCCTCGGCCGCAGCATCTGCTGACAGCACTGCCACAAAGCCTTCCTTGAACTCCTCGAAGCTGACCTGAGGAGGGACAGGGAAAGGAAGTCAGCACCCCGACCCCTCAGTGCCTCCCCTTCGGTTGGAGGCAGCAGGACACGTCTCCTGCTGCCTCCAACCAGAGACAATGTTCTAACCTCTTCCTTTGTTTGGTTTTGTTCTTTGGTGACACCCAGTGGTTCTCAGAATCATTCCTGGGTCTGTGCTCAGGGAACCATGGAGGGTGCTGGGATCCACCTGGTCGGCAGCACCCTCTCCACGGTACTATGACTCCAGCCTCAGATTCGTCTTACATAGGAAAGTTAAACAAGAGAAGCAAAAGTGACCCTAAACACATCTCCCAAAGCAAAACTGATTAGCAACTTTATAAAATTCAGAAACAGGCGAAAAAAAAAAGTTAAGGTGCTCCCAACAGAACAGGGGTCTTCTTTGGTGGCAGAGGACGTGAAGAGGCCATGGGGGAGGGGGGGCTCAGGGTGGGGCAGCCCCGAAGCTGCTCCTTGCTCTAGCAGCACCACTGCACGTCACACAGCCTCAGAGAGCAGCAGTCGAGCTCTGCAGGGCCTGGGGGAACAGCCACCCTCTCCCCAAGCCTGCAGGTCTGAGCAAGCACCCCGGGAGCACCAGAAGCAGGTCCCAGAGCTGAGTGCAACTGTGATCATTTACTCCCAGCCGACGCACGGGCCACGACCGAGACAAGCAGGGACCCCATACAGAGCGCACCTGTGCTGACCGCTCTGCCCTGGCACAGCCAGCAGCGTCCTGGGCCACCTCTGCAGCCTGCCTGGGACACTCGCCCAACACACTGCAGCCATCTCTGCCCTGGCATGAGGCGTTGACTATCATGCTGTAGAAAGAAGCTGCCGTGTTCTTACTCTCCGGATGCTTTTCGGGAGAAATCAAACTCTTCTGCCATCGTTAGCATCACGAGAGGTGCAGAGAGTATGGGGGATGCTGTGTGTCCACCTCTGGGAGTCTTTCATAAAATCATTTGAGCACTGTTTTCCTTCAGGTGAATCCCTCTTTACTGTAATTCTACAGACTAGGGAATCCTAAAGCCACCCTGGAGTCCAACAGCCACTTCTGTTCCACCATGGCCCTCTGCTCACAGCTCTCTTCCTGGGGTTCCCGAGAAAGGCTGCGAGTCTTCTCACGCCCTCTTCTCCTTTTCTTCATCAGGCAGCATTCTAGATTAATCCAGTTAATGAGCGCTCTCTTCTGATCTGTTCAACATTTCATTTACTTTATTCCTATTTTATTTTCGCACTGCTAGGGGCTGAAGCCAGGACTCACGCATGCAAAGCAAGTGCTCCCAACACTGAGTTAAAACCACTCCTCATTTTTTTTCTTTTTTTAATCATCAGTTTTTCCCCCCCCCCCCCCCCGTTTGTTTCTCGGTCACACCTGGCAGTCCTCAGAGCTTAGTCCTGGCTCTGCATTCAGGGATCATTCCTGATGGAACTCAGGGGGTCATCTATGGTGCTGGGACCAAACCCAGGTCAGCTGTGTGTAAGGCCAGCACCTTCCCATGTTGCCCCTCCGGGCCATGCTCCAGGCTGTGCATCATGTGTTCGAGTTGTAGGATTCTCCCTGGTTCTTTGCTAGGATGTGTTATGTTACTTCTTATAGTGCCCTCTTCCCCAAAGATATTTTCAGAAATGTCTCTTTTCCATCTTCCCTCAGACTTGTGCTCAGGAGTCAGTCCCAGCAGTGCTCAGGGGATCAATCCCACCACGTGTCCAGTCCACTGAGCTGCTCCCCCCCCCCCCCCCGGAATTTTAGACCACATTAACTTTGAGGCTTAAAACTAGACCTTGATACTGTTTCTCTAAAAAGTATGAAACACTAAAAGCAAACCTCCACCTTCAACTGCCAGATGGAATATCATGATACTCCTTCTGCAATTACATCATTAAATCCCTGTACTTTGTCCGACTAACATTATACAATTCAGGCATCCAAGGGCCCTGGGGACGAGGCACGCACACTGGAGGGTCCATCCATGCTCCTGTGTGCTGTGACTTCCTTTGAAAGTTCCTGAATCTCCACTACTTAGTTTCTGCCACAGGAAATGGGGCCGGCCATCTAGAGCCTCTGGACTGGCACCAACTTTCCCTAAACAGCCACCAACATGTGCCAGCACACGGCCTGACTTGCTTCCTTGGGGGGAGAGGGAGGCAGGGATTGGGAAGAGGGGAGAAGAGATGTGGGTGTTGGGAGCACCTGCTGGTGGCACCTGTTCTTGGGGCAGAGAGAGAGCGGGAACAGCTCCAAGTGTCAGTCAAGTGCACTCATGGAGCCAGGGTCTGTCTGCATTTATAGCCCCCGCCCACCCCGCCCCCCGCCTTGCCTTGGGGAACAGAGACTCGCAGCAGTGAGGGAATCAAGTGGGATGAGCCCCACACACACAGACTCTGACACTTCCCTGCCGAGAGCAGCTCCCGGAGAGGGCCAGTTCCCCTCACTGTGCCACCCCTCCACTGTCTTTCCCCAGTGCTGGGAGAAGCCCCACGTCCGCAGGAGGAAAATCTCTGGGGGAGCTGTCTTCAGGGTGCCCGTGACCAAGCAAAGCACACACCTCAAGCAAACCAAGCTTGTTTTCTCTACACGATGCGCCAACACTGGTCTCTGATGTCTGAGACCCTTACATGGGAACCTGAGGGTGGCCCAGGGCAGGTCCCTCCCTGCCTTCACGCTGAGGAGGATCCCCAGCACCTGTCACAGAAGACGCGGTCTCCAGGGCACTGCCACCACGGTGGCCGCAGTGAAAGGAAGGGGAACGCAATACTGTGACAAGTACACCGGTCCCCTCGCCACCTCTGTCCATGCATGTCTTGGTGGGGCAGTAACAGGAGTAACTGCATGTTCTATCACTGACGCCTGCGACCTCAACCGGGGTGATGAAGCATTATGTTCCAAATTGTCAAACACAGTTTGGAAAACTAGATCATCTGTCTAAGCTTCTTAAATGACAAACACTGACTTTTCCAAAGGTGCCTTTTGCTCCTTAGACCCCAAAGCTAGTATCAAGAGGGGCCAGAACACTATCTGTTCAAAACACACCTTCTTCTTTGTTTGTTTTTGGGCCACACCCAGCCGTGCTCAGGGTCTGCTTCTGACTGCACTCGGGGATCATTCCTGGCTATGCTCAGGGGTACCATATGGGGTACCAGGGATCAAAGCTTGGTAGGCTGTGTGCAAGGGGAGGTGTGTTACCCGCTGTACTATCTCTGTGGCCCCAAACACACCTGATGATGATGATGATGATGATGATGATGATGATGATTTGTTTTTTGGGTCACACCCGGTGATGCACAGGGGTTACTCCTGGCTTTGCACTCAGGAATTAACTCCTGGCGGTGCTCAGGGGACCACACGGGATGCTGGGAATCAAATCCGGGTCGGCTGCGTGCAAGTACAGCCCTATGTGCTGTACTATCACTCCAGCCCGGCGCCTGACTTTTAATCAAAGTTTTAAAAAAGCAGTCAGAGGTGGAAAAAGGGTGATGAGGGGAGCTGAGGCCGTTTCCTGCTAGAGGCACGGCACAGCAGGCTTCGCTCTGTTCGACACCATTTTATTAGAAGATTTTTGGCTGGTTGGTTTGGGGGCACACATGGCAGTGCTTAGGACTTACTCCCAGCTCTGCACCCAGGTAACAGGGACCGAGGGACCACATGGGGAACCCGGAACTGAAGCCACGTCAGCTGCACGCAAAGCAAGTGCCTTCCCCACCGTACTGTCTCTGGCCCCCAAATACTGACAAGGAAAAAAGAAATCCTGACCAACGTTGAGAAAAGCCCACCAGCTTTGAGAACCTGCGTCCCTTCACATTCCTCTGCTTGAGTCGAAGGTTCCAGAGCCAAAGCTCTAGTACAGTGGGTAAGGGTACACTTGTCTGTCCGGTCTCAATCTCCAGAATCCACATGGTTTTGAGCACCACCAGGAATGACCCCCGAGTGCACAGCCAGGAATAACTCCTGGGCATCGCCGTCTGTTGCCCCAAAACAGCAATATAATAAAAGAGGGAAAGGTTCCAAGGTCTGTGAGAATGTGAGGAGAGGCCCTGCTGGAAATTGGGGGAACTAATGCGGGGCTGTGGAGTCCGTCTCCCTGCCCAGCAGGGGGCTTCGCTTGTGCTCTTTCAACAGGGTCACCCACCAGCCTACGCAGGAACACCTATAGGCTGGTTTGTTTTTTATATCTCACTCAAAATTAAAACAGTTTTATTGAATACCGGGGGGCAGGGGAGGTCCCTTCAGATGTCAGCAAGGTAACGGAAACTAAGCTGTGTCTAACCCTGAGGCTCAAGCAAGGCACAGCTAAGTCAGAGTACAGTCAGAGGCCTTCTAGATGCTTCCATTAAGAGAGCAACTGTGGTCTGGTTTCCACACACCCATCGAGGTGACTCCTGGGTTTCCTAGAGAAAGGAACTCGGTTCCTATGTACTGGGGAGTGGAGGGCCCCAGGCCAGCGGGGAGCTGGTGGTCCTGAGATGCCAGGATTACCCAGCTAGTCAGGCGGTGTTTGGGGGCCTCAGGCTACAACCTGGGAAGAACCGGCCTCCACAAGTGAGCTTGTGCCCCACCCCGTGCTCACGCTCTCCGGGCCTGAGCTCACATTCTCTCTCCTGCTGAGGTGGGTCACAGGGTGCCCTGGATCGGGCGACCTTCCTTGTGTGCAGCAGGGGCACGCACGGCTTTACCTAGCTGCTGAGGGAACGGCCACTGGCCTGATGCGAGAGGCTCACAGTCCGGAGAGCTTCGGAGTCCACTTTGGGCTCTTGGGCGTATGGGGCATGCGCTGCCTATGAATCCAGCGCCGTGCCCTCTGACTCACAGGCCACCCACCAAGACCACCCACCACTGCCCGGCAAACTCCTCGGGTCTTCTGAAAAAGAAGCCCGTACAAAAGCCCCTGGAAGTCACCACATTAGAGGAAAAAAAAAAAAGTCCCAAGCTGGGGAAAAGCTCAAAGGCAGAGGGCATATGCTCCGCCCTCGAGCCCGAGGCTGGCCCTGGCACACCCGAGAAGGCCGGGAGCACCAGGCACACAGCAGCTCACGGAGGAGAGAGGCAGGCAAGCCTCCTGACGACAACCCCTGAGGCGCGGGTCCAGGGGACTGGCATCCCTACCCCCGCTGGGGCTCTGCGCTTTCGGGAACACGCACCCGGGCAAAGCGGTCGCCTCCAAGCAGGGTCTGCAAGAGCAGGGGCAGCTGCGCTTCCACACGCAGCTTCAGGCAGAGTTGGGTCAGCTCGTCCCGGTCCAGAAAGCCGGTCCCGGTGGTGTCACAGCTGCTGTAGAGCTCCCGGAGCTGGGACACATAGTGGTTCTCTTCTCCATCCATCCCATAGCAAGCTGCGCACACAAGAGAAACACGAGTGAGACCCTCAGCACACCTCAGACACTGCCCACTGCCCCCCCCCTCCCGGCACCCCGGAGGCACCAGCCCCGCCACTGCAGGAGAACCCAGCGAGCCGCCCTCCGCCAGAACCCAATTTCTCGATTTGTGTAAAAAAGGGGAAAAAAAAAGAAAAAGAAAAAAAGAAAATCTATTGAAGAATCATCAAGAAAAGCAAGAAGCAAACTAAAATCACCCAAAATTCCACCATGCCCCTCCCCTATATTGTTATAAGCATTTTGGCAAAGATATATTTTAATTTTTCTCTACACTCATAAGTTTTGGCTTTTCCCTTACAAACACATGTACTTTACTAGTAATGCAATAAGCAGTAATGATTTTACTGTTTCACTAGGAAATGTTGATAATAAGAAAAAAGAGAGACCTCAGTAAGAATTCAGAGGGTGGGCCAGGGTAGGCATCCCACTCGCAGGCACCAGACCTAGCTTTGACCCCTGGCACCAAATACAGTCCTGAGACCCCAGGAGTGGTCCCCAAACACAAAGCCAGGAGGAAGCCCTGAGCACAGCCAGGCATTACCAACAGGCCAAAAAATAAATAAATAAATAAAAACCAGGACATATAGAGTGAATATCATACTAATAGATCCATAATATATAGGATTAATAACCATCTAATATATTCAAAGTGAAACACTAATAACATTCGTGACTCCTGTATCATCAAAGTGAAACACTCAGGCCAGAGCACAGCACAGTGGCGGGAGTGTGGGGGGGCACTTGCTGGCACTGGCTGGCATCCCCATGTGCCCCTGAGTACCACCGAGAGGGATTCCGGAGTGCAGAGCCAGGGATCAAACCCAGGCCAGCCGCACATAAACAAGAATCTTTCCCACTATACTGTATTGTCATTTGGGCCCTGGAGTCATTTTTTTTTCTTTTCTAGGTATTTTGAGCCACCCCCAACTCTGCTCAGGGCTTACGACTGTCTCTGCACTCAGGGATCGCGCCTGGTGGGCTCAAATTCAGGCTGGCCATAAGCTGGGCCAGCTCCCTGCCACTGACTGTCATTCCAGCGCCCTGTGTCAAACTTCTCTAAGGTCATTCCTCTCCTCTCTGGGTACTCTGCCCACTGGCAGCAGTCCCACAGATGGGCAAAACAGCACTGAACACTTGGACAGCTCCTGTTCCTGCGACCTGCAGTGACCTCCTCAGGACTGGCTCCAGCCCAGGGCGGGACCTCACTGAAATACCAAGGGGCTCAGCTTGGAAGCAGACCCACGCATCACACTGCCCGAGGCGGCCGGTGCCAGGACTAAGGGGCCCCATTATCAGACCTGCAGGGGTGTGCCTCCAGTGTGCCCCCAGAAAGCCCCCCGCAGGCCAGGTCACACAGACCCTCTTCTGAAAAGGTTCTTGCTTCTGGGGAAGGATCAGAGGCATGGGTGGTGGGTATAGGGCTGGTGGGTAGGGGAAAAAAGAGCAAAGAAAATGGGCAATTTCCTAAACACAGAGGCTGCTGGGGCCCCCTAGGGGGCAGGCGACAGGGAACGACCACCCACCACTCACTGGCCACCCTGTCTGCTCTCCCACAGCTCCCCATGGGAAGGGCATGGCCCTGCTGGCCTCCCTCATAGCTGACCTTGGGGCTGGTAGGGGGGGAGGAGGTTGATGTCCTCATGGCCAGTGCAGACCAGCTGCAGCAGGGCCGGGGATGCGGCTACTTCCGCAGTGGCCTGGAGCGGGCTACCTCCAGATCCCAGTCAGCCCAGGAGGGGCAGGCCGCACCCACCTTCCTCTCACCTGAAGGGCGACCAGGTAAAGTCAGGAAGCCCCAGTGTCTGGGCCACAGAGGGGAGCATGGTCACATCAGGGTCACGAACTTGGATTCGTGCCCACCCCCGCCTGAAGAACCTCAAGGCTGGCTCCTGGCTAGCTGCGGCCTCAGGTCCAGAATCGGGCAGAAGTCAGGTGTGGGCGGCTGAAGGTCAAAGGGCACCAGAAGCTGTCCTGTTACCAGGACCCCAACTCTCCCCGCTGCACCCCCACCTCACCTTGGTCATACCAAGGTGTACTCAAACCTCCCTTCAGCCCTGGGAGCCGGAGGCTCTAGCTTCAGTCTCCACCCCAGGAACCTGGACAAGGCCACCTGCACAGAGCTCTGGTCAGTCACGAGGCCACTTCCGGGCATCTACACTGCCCTCATAGGAAAGGGGGAGAGAGGTGGCCCCTCTTCCGTGGAACCCACAGAACTTACCGGCCCTCTGTGCAAAAGGCACCCGTCCTAGGTGACAGAGACAGGCCCGGCCCAGCTCTGCCTGCACCTGCCAAGGCCTTGGCCAGGGCTGGGGCTCCCACTACGCCTTTTCACCATGACAGGAGCCTCAGCCACCCTTCACGGCTGCAAAACAAGCAACAAGCCAGGAACCCAAGCGGCTTCCCCAGACCCTGAGGAATGCATGAGGCCCTTGGGAACCCCGAGATCTTGCACTACCTGCCCTTGTCATTCCACTTACTCCCTCTTCTCTGTCTCTCTGTTTCTGTCTGTCTGTCTATCTGTCTGTGTGTCTCTCTGTCTGTCTGTGTGTCTCTCTGTCTGTCTGTCTGTCTGTCTGTCTGTCTGTCTGTCTCTCTCTCTCTCTCACACACACACACACACACACAGTGCAAGCCTCATAGCAAAGTGATTATGTAACTAATAAATACTACCTGAAGCTAGCACATAGCCAAGGAGCTCTGCAGTTCCACAGGTACATGCAATGTTTGCACATTCAAACCAGAGAAAACCTGGCTGGCATTCAGTAGCTCATTCAATACTGTCAAACTGAGGGCAGAATAACAGATAAAGAGGGGCACCCGGCTTTCATTGTTTTATTTACTTATTTTGCAGTAAGTAGTATCTCAGTAATTTTATTTTATTTTATTTATTTTTGCTTTTTTTTGGGTCACACCCGGTGATGCACAGGGGTTTCTCCTGGCTCATGCAATCAGGAATTACTCCTGGCGGTGCTCAGGGGACCATATGGGATGCTGGGAATCGAACCCGGGTCGGCCGCATGCAAGGCAAACACCCTACCCACTGTGCTATCACTCCAGCCCAGAATCTCAGTAATTTTAATGCTACAAAGTTTGATTTAAAGTTAAGGCTGGAGAAATAATATAGTGTAACCTCATGGCTTGTCTTACATGCAGCTGACTCGGGTTCCATCCCTGAGCACAGCCAAGTGTGACCCCTGAGCACAGACCAGGAGGAAGTCCTGAGCACCACTGGATGTGGCCCCAAAACTAAAGGCCAACGTAAAGCGTCCTTGCCATGCACACGGAAGATCCAGGCTTGAACCCCAGCGACACACATGGCCCGAGCATCTCCGGACTGACCTCTGCGTGCCGGGGAGCACAGCTAGCACAGACAGAACCACACACTAACCGAACAATGGCCGAAGGGTGGAGACGGCTGAGGGCTGAGCACGCACAGGCCCCGCACGCAGGAGCGTCTCGCTCCATCCCTGCACGTGGCTCCGCACACCCCCAGGTGAAGACCCCGCTCAGCAGGCATGCGACAGAGGGGTGTCTGCACGACCTGACACGCTTCATTCGAGAGGGCTCAGTCTGCCCCAGAAGCCTGCTGGGCACCGAGAGCAGGGAGGAGAATCGTTTCTCAGGAGCTTCGAGCTGTGCCGCCGTAACTCTGAAAGAGGCCCCTTGTCAAACCTGCTCACCCGGAAGAAGGGCACCCTCGGCCTGTTCTCCCGTTATCTGGAAGAATGCTACAACCCCCATAAAATATTCAAGCCAGTCCTTGGGTTACACCAGGCCAGACTCACTGTGCATAGCCTTGCGGTTAGAATCAGCCTTCACACTTGAGCAGTTCTGAGGCTTTCAGCTTACTTTTCCCATTAACTATTTTGTGGCTTACTCTGTCTACATAGGTGCTGAGTATCTCAGCAATAGGAGTTGAAAAAAACTATCTTTTAAATATACTTTTTAAATAGTTTTTCTTTCTGAGTTACACCCAGTGATGTAACTCCAGTTACTCCAGTTACTCCTGGCTCTGCACTCAGGAATTAGTCCTGGCGGTGCTTGGGGGACCATATGGGATGCTGGGATTGAACCAGGATCGGCCTCGTGCAAGGCAAACGCCCTACCCACTATACTATCGCTCCTACCCTTTAAATACTCTTCAAGTAATAAATTAATTTTCACTCTGAATGCTCTATGTCTAGGTAATTTCTTTCATATTTATATATTTCTTTCACTTATTAATGCAGATATCTAAGCACCATATAATATTTCCTAACATAAAACCAAGATTACCTTTTGAGAATAAACCACTTTTATTTACAGACCTACTCAGATTTTACTTTAAATCTTTAAAACTCTCTCTCCTCACTCTTGCTAAATAGTATTATTTGTAAGATTTATCTAATTTCATGTAAAGCTCGGCCCAAACAGAAACCCAGAAATAAAGCTAGTTATACATAGAATAGCTGAGTAAGTGCTAATATACCTGAACAGTAATGCCCAGATAAAACAATTCTTTAGAAATAAGTAAACAGTGTATGCCCATGGATCAGGCCAGGAGGCAGCAGCCAAGAGCAGCACTTTCCACCCCTTCTCAGGCCCGAGCAGCCGGGCGGGCGGGGACGGGCATCCCTCCCTGCGCCACAGTGTGGGCTTCAGGCCTGTGCTTGGAACTAGGTCACAGCCGTGAGAGCTTCAGTCTTCAGGCGCTCGGTTAGGCTCTGGGGACAGGGACCCACAGGGACAGAGCCCTCGACTCGGAGTTGTGCTGCAGTGCTGCCTGCCACCGCAACCCTCAGTCCCTGCCCAGTGGGAAACCACAGTCTTACTCCGACGGGAAAGGATGCAGCCTGCGGATTTATCTTTTTGGTACTCACAGGGTTTACTAAGTCTGTGGCCTGAGGCCATTTGCCAGTTTGGGAAAACCCCAACCACTGTCCCTTCTAGAATGGCGCCTGCTCCGCGTTCTGCCGATC